TCCTTAATTTGAAAAAAAATTAAAAAAACACTGATATTTTTTTTTTGATAATTATTTCAATAAATATTTGTACTACCAATTATAATGAGAAATATTTTGTTTACTTCATTATTTCCATATTATCATGAATAATTATAAAGCTGATGCATTGTAGAATTATGAATTTACATGAAAAATATTTATTTTCATAATTAATACATAATTTGAATTTTTTATATTTTTTTACAACCATCACATGTGTATAACAAATAATTTCAAAAATCGAATTAAATTAATTTTCAATTATGCTTCTTCTCCATGTCCCAAATATTTAACTTTAATTGCTTTTTGACATAATACGAAATTACAATCTGACAGTCACTGTCAATCATTTTTTATTTAGAAATAAATTATCTATGAGACTAAGGTAAAATAATAAAATATCACATAAGTGAATTTTATTTATTTATTTAACAGTTAATTAAATGATAATAATAAATATTACTAGACTAGTATATTTAGAATCAAAGTGAAAATTAAAAGCTATAAAGCCGAGTTCATTAAATGGGAAAGTACATTAAGCTGCAAATTATCTGGTTTGTAAAATACGTTAGTCTGTACATTATTATATTGTTAGCGAATAAAATACATAAAATGAGTCAGTCCGCATTATATTGATTGTAAACATGTGTCGAGCGAAGAATAATAGTATATAAAAGCGACACTTAATGTGCGTAAACATGTCTCTGTAATTAATTACAGTTGCGAACAGAGTGTTTATAATTTAAAATAACAATCAGTTGGCATCCGGTAGTTTAATTTACTGGGATACCTATTCTCTTGTGTACATGTAATGTAACAAGATAACACGCATTGAATCTTCAATTTCATTCGAAAGTCAATATTTGTGATGAAATCGAAATAAATGGAACAATTGCAGTACATATACAGAGAAGTAATCGTTAAATATAGATTATAGCTCTATTTAAACTTTTTCTAATACTTATCTTCCGATGTCATGAGTGAATCTTTTCAATACTTGTTATTGATAGACGTACAACGTTATTATGGTTTTTTCGATAGCTCCATTCAACTCCCTTCCTCCACTGACCAATCAGTTTTTATGTTCAAAGTATATACCCAGATGATCTATCTTTTTGTGACACACCATTTTCTCATAAAAAGTCGTGTTTTTCTGTTGATTAAAGAAATTTACTTTTTTCCTATTGATATAAATATAATTAATTTTATTTTAGATAAGGTAATAAATAGAAGTTTAATAAAAAGACTGTGATGGAATTAATAGGTGTATTTGGTTGATAATTGATATGAATTTAAATTTTAAAAAATACTGGATCATAGAGTGCGACAGAATGCTTTTAGTTGATGATATTTTTAACGTAAGTGGATGCTGACAGGAGTCCTCCTATTTGAAAGTCAAATATCACAAAAATCCTATTCAAACATACACCAACTGGCCAAGCATCTAATATATATTTTTTTCGTGGATAATATTTTTACACAGACTGTTTTCTATAAAAATATCCGAGATTATTTGGAGGCATAGCTATAATTTCACTTTATTGTCCGATTTATCTCTATTTAATTCCTCTCGTAGTGTATTAAATGATCACGTAATTACGGCTGATCCAATTAGCCTAAATCACCGAGTGCTTTCTCGTGTTTTTAAGTTTATATGGTAAATAATAAACTTGAGATTGAACTTTATGTAACATTATCCAGCTTTGGAAGTTCATTTATTCATTAAGACTTTGTACTGTAGAATTTATAGAAATTGACATAATAAAATCTTCAAGTTTTTGTAAATTATTTAATTATAAATAAACTCCAGTAATTATTGATGACTAAAAATTGGTGTTTTCTTGTGTTTCACACTTTACACTTGAAACTTGGTTTACAGTAAAACTTGAACTGCTATAGAAGTTTCTCATTTAACATTGGAATCCTCTTTTACTTTTCAAGTATACTATAAATTATGAAACTTGTAATTACTTCATTATAGTTTTTGTTTTACATTTTACTTTGTGATAAAAAAAAAAATAACAACAAAAAAGAAAAACAAAGAAGTGTCCTTTAAAATATATTTAAATTATAACTTTTTAATAATTAAATTATTTATTTTTTTTATTTGTTATACACCTGATATTCTTATATTTTGTTCAATATTTTTCGAATAATTTTTTTTTAACTTAACACAATACTGAAAATTCGTATTTACTATTTGAAATATGTGCATCCATGAATATACAATCGACATGACCAAAAAATATTTATTAAACTTCCGCACCCTATTTATTTTATTGCCGTTCGAAATCCGGAAATCTACCAAGATTAATTCTAACATTCTTGTTGTTGTTTTTTTTTCAGTATTTATACGTTATTTTTTTATTTAGTTGATCCTCTTATTTGAATTTATTTTTCAAAAAACAACACTTTATTATTACGAAAAGAAATTTTTTTATATTGATCTTCAGGTCTGACTAAAATTAAATCATACTACTTAATTCATATTCAACGCCTTCTTTTCAATATCTTGTATAATTTTTGGAGTTAGAATTTTTTGATAGATCTTTTGTATCACTAATAAAACATAATGTGTCATAATCAATGAATAAAAAATATGATGAGTTATTTATCTAATCAACAAGGATAGTGGTTGAATCGATGGGCGTGCATTATCATTAATTTTAGAGGCCAAATTGTTCGATCGAACGATCAGTTATTGTCAATGTGTGGCACGTGAAGCTGTATCATGTCCCTTCATCATGGCATTCTACCACTTTATCGATTTTCGATGGAAAAGCTCTCTTGAGGCTTTGATTCCTGGTGGTATGTGCTTTGAGGCCTGTGAAGCTTGTCGTATGTAAATGTCCAAGCAGGTGAGTAAACATGAGAAAGTGTATATGCATATATATATATAGATGTATATATTGAAGTCTCAACTTTAGAGTTTTTATCATAAAGCGAGAAATGCATATACTAGGTCATTCACCAATGTGCAATACTGCATTAGCTTTTCATGTGAATACATTTAACGTTTCTTTGTGAATTAAAATTTCAACCTTGATTGGAGTATCAAAAGAATGATGGGGAAAAATGCAGCACGTCACTTTGTACGAGGAACTAAAATTTAATGGTACCAGAAAAATATTTAAAAAATTTTTTAAAGCAATTTCATAAGCTTTTTTATTTTTTGATAAAAAAGTCATGTGACCTGATAGCAAGACCATTTAGTATTCATATTAAATAGAGTTTATAGAAGAGTCTTTATGAGTGTAGTTTTTCATCAGAATAATTGAATCAAAACGATCAAAAACTTTAAAAGAATAAAATAACAATAGCAATATGACAGAATAACTGGATTATTTTTTTCAAAAATGTCTGATATCTTTTTTATTCCCTAAAACTGACTGAGTTCATTGAAAAAGTTGGAAAAGTAAGGTGGAAACAGTGTGGTGATATAAATTAAGTTAGTCTAATCCAAGGAAATTTCATAAATTAACATCTTAGTTGGTGGTGATTTAAATCATTCGCGGGTGTTACTAACATTATCTATTTGGCTTCTCGTTGCTAGCAAGTGTTCACAAAATTCACCTAATCTAGGATTAAGAACTTGCACCAAGGAAGCTCGATTTCTCACATACTCCAACTGTTCATTTCCATTCAATTATTTATCCTTGCTACAACAACAGAACTTTGTAATTTAAATTAGAATAACAATTAAATAGTCATTTACATTAGCATTTTTGCATTGAAATATAACACCTATCTTGAAAAACATATTTTTCATTTTATTCTTGATCATGCATTGTTTGTGTTGCATTTAATTACCAAGCATTCATTGGCTTCAATGAATGTTAAAACAAGTCATTATTTAAATAAAAGAATAACTAGTTGAGGAAGTGAAAATGTAAAAAGCTTTTTAATTGAAAGATTTGTAAAAAAAAAAAAAAACCTCATGAAATGGAAGAAGTGAAATGATGTTAATTTGCAAGTGTTAAGATACTAGAAAAGATTCAGTTAAATCAGATTATTCACAAGAGTAGAGTTTATTCGTTTGCATAAAAAATTCTTAAGCACAATTGTAGCTGTTAGAATTCAATTGAACTTTGGTGAGATGATGAATAAAAGTTCTTCTACATAGAACATTTGCTATTTTTTCTTCCTTTCGTTCTTTTACAATTTGTAAAAGTATATAGCCTGCGGATGTACGATCACAAGTAACCAAAGTTTCTCTAACTGCTACGCTAAATATCCTGGTGGAGCGGCAAAGTTTCAACCGATAATGGAGTCTTCTCTAGCACCGGAACAAAAGCTTATGCGATCCCTATATTCACTTGTTTGAAAGGAGTGTTGAGAGTTTCCAGGTCAGATAAACTGACTCTGAAATGAAAAAATGATGGGATTATTATATTTTTTGCTCTTGCTTGCTAAATTATATCTGAAAGTTAATTTTGCAAAAGGAATGATTAAGCTTTATAAGTTAGGTATTTTTTTTTTAGAGGTCGTGTAAAAAATAAATTAAATTATTATTAAGAAAAATTTTGTTTTTAATATAATTATAATGATATTATTTATAAATAGATATTAAAAAATTTTTTAAATATTTCTTCAATATTAAAATTCACGGTTCAGCAAATCTCTCCATTTCATGGAGTCAAATATTTGCTCATAAATTACAAATTTTTTACTTTTTTGTCATTACATGAATTATTAATATATTTTATATCCTGCTTTGTTGGAAAATTACAAAAATTTTAACCATTCAAAAAATGAACATTAAGCAAAAAAAAAAAAGTCTGATGTTTAAATTAATTATACATAGCTAAAGAGAATTGCATTACTAAAAATAATTAAACAAATAAAAGAACAGTTATTTATTATTTTTAGAGTTAATGAAAAATGAGATGAATGTTGAGAGAGAAAAAAGGAAAAGAGAATAATTAAACTCACAATTTATTTGGCTTGATAATTTGTTATGTATTTATTTTCTTGAATCATTGAATAGAATTTGAAAGACTACTCAATTAACATACAATAGATGAAGAGAAAGGTATTTTAATATTAATCAATATTTATGTCCGAGGCCACATAATTTATCGAATTCATTAATTAATATGTTTAAGCGAAAGTCAAACCATTATCAATACTGCCAGATCGAGCTCGTGGCAACACAGCATCATTGAATCTCACAGTTATCTCCGTCACTGCCATATTCGCGGTCAGGAATTGCCGCAAGCTTTCAGCCCCACTGCGTGGTCGACGGTCAAATGGATAACCCATGGCACGAGCATCCGGATACTTGCGATCTCTCAATCCGCAATAACTCGCTGCATTTTTGCAACCTCTTGGCTCATCCTGTTCAACCTGGATGAGTTAATGTTTCTACGTTATTAAAACTCATTCAATAATGTAGTTGAGGAATTATTAAATTGAAATAAAAAACTTTTGATGGTATACTTTGATATAAAATCAAAATAAAATAGTTTTGAATTGCTATAGCAACATTGACGATTAAATTCATTAAAAGTTGAATGAGGATCTTTTTTTTACCACATCGTCCTTGTAGTCTGAAATCATGACAAAGAGGTCCATAGGGAATCCTTCCTTATTTCCACGAGGACAAAGCATATGCTGTGGCCATCCACATCCACAAAAGTTAAATCGCTCTAGAGCATCTCCACCGACTGGTCGATTTTCATCTAAATTACGGAAGGTCGCTTCAAATGGAATCGTCACTGATGATTCTGTTGATCTGCGCTCGATGATGTTTTCTCCTGGCTTCACTGTTGAGAATATTGTTTTATTCATTGAATAATTTGTTAAGAATAAAGTTGGTTAATATTTAAAAATTAATCTCTCAATGACATACAATTAACAGTAAATTTGTCCATTTCAATCATAAGATCCTTCTGAGTCCAGAAGGTGAATGGAAGCCGGCGTTCGTCATACTTGGGACCAATGAAAATTCTACATGTTCCCATTTGCGAACTGCTATTCCGATTATTTACTTGAATTCTATACACGAATGGAGCATGGTTTAAGTGAGTAAACCTTGCAAGTACTGCTCCACGTGGAGTAAAATCGAGACCTCTAGAGAGATCCAGGTCACTTTGGTTCCAAAATGTTGATAGAGTGTTGAGAGATTGGTTGGGGCTGATTACTTGAATGCCAGCCACTTCGACTCCAGGGAATCCAAGCTAAATATGTTCAATATGTTTATGAATATGTTTTGTAGAGTATTCAAATAATTTATTTACCTGAGAAATGGTATATGCTGGTAAGGTATTTTTATGCTCCAAAAAGATTTCATTCATAAATGCATGCCATTTGTAAAATACTGGATCTCTCATTGCTGTTGCTGAATCACCCATCACTCCAAAAGATTCCTTACAAATCAATTCTCATTATAAATTATCTTAGATATTTTTGTGGCTTAAAAAGTTTTTTATTTTTTTAAAAGAAAAGTTGTTGATATAAACTAACTTTGTCAAGTGGAATTAAATAAAACTTTAGTTTAATAATATTTTAATAGTTTGTGGATGAAATTTTTGTGGTGATAAAACTGGTCAACAATATTTGCTTTTACACAAATTAGATTTTTTTAAAATAAACCTCAATGTTGAATTTTTATTCATGATCATTTTCTACTTAAAAATAGGTCATGCAGCTGGAGAAGAAGATTTTTTTTCTCACCAAATAACGATGATCAGGATCATGGCAATAAGAAATTAAAACATGACCAAGATTGTGAAAGTCTCCATAAAGATTTGGATTGGGTGTGAGAATGCTGGCCTCTACAATATTCCCAAGAACATCAATTCCTCCTTTTTCAGTCAATTGCATTCTTTGGCCTCTCGAGGTTTCTACGGTTCCAGTATGAATAGCATCGTAGATACGGTCTCTCCATCTTTCCAGGTCCTGAATATCAAATCTCAGTGAATCAACTGGTCTGTTGATGTCTTTGAGTCTAGTGTCAGCAGGACGAGAAGGCCATGTACGACCTGCTACCAATGAATCTAATTTAGGAAAGTAGCCCTCTGGTATTGGTTCTCGCAAATTATTCAATCGTTGGACTCGGTTCAATTTATTACAAAGACGTTCACAGTTGTATCTATTAAGAGAGACATTTGTTTGAATTTCTCTTGATAAAAGTTAGCAGTAGACTGTCGATAAACTTGTTGATAGATTGTGTCAAGTACCTTGCCATAATTTGTTGATGCATATAATAAAAAAGTTCTCCACGTCGATCTTTATTGACAATTCTTGCATCAGCTTCAAATGGATAGACAAGATGCCAATGCCAGTGATGAAGATTGATACCTACATCTTCCCGCCAATAAGCAACACGATGTTCTTCATCTAGATCAGACGCTGTATAATCTCGAGGAATTTCTATCGGGATCTAGTTTTAATTAAAGTCAGAAAATTTATTATCAAATATTTGATTACATTTTAGAAGAAAATAAAATAAAACCTTCATAGTTCTGTTGATGAATATTCATTATTTTAATTAAAGTAATAATTAACTGTTTATTATTTTCATTTAAATTCACTTAAAACCAAGTAAATTCAACTAATCAATTTTTCTTCAAGTATTTTAAAAAGCTCTAATCTACAAATATTTAAACGTTGTCACTATAAAAAGTTGAGTGTCCTCAGTACATGTTTGGCAAAAAAGTTGGAGTATCATCTTCAAAAGCCAACTCTCTAATGTCAGCCTTTTTCTACCTACTTTGATATGATAGAGATATCAAATAATAATCATAATATACTAAGCTACAAAATTTTTTTGAATCCCAGTTGAAGATAATAAAAAAAAAGAAAAATGCTTACACGAGATCCTGGTGGAACGACGTTAGCTTCTTCTTTAGCTCTGGAAAAAATGCCACTATCCATATACTTATCGGGAAAAACTTCAGCCAAAGAAGGAATTGGCAGGTTCTTGGTGTCAGGACGATGAAGAATGGCAACAGATAGAGCGTAGATAAACATGTTAGGATTGAGTCGATCACGACAATAAACAGCAACTGACAGGAAGTCCTCGATTGTGCGCATCCCTAAGAAGATATCAATAAGCCGGCCTGCAATTTTCCGGTGAGCAGGAATGAAGAGTGAGAATGGTGTACGTCTATCAAGTTGCATTGGGATGCTTAAATCTGGTAAGCTGATCTCTTTCACAGGGATTTTCATATCTGCATCATCACTGAATCGATTGAGAACTTGTACAGCTACTCCACGATATCTATCTGGCTAAAAGTTGATGCGGGTATTTAAATAAGATTGGAACATGATAATTGATCTAGACAAGTTGCACATAATATATTACTGAGAATGACTTACCAGATATTCTGTTGGAATTTGAAATGCAACTTTCATCTCCCCTTTGGGAACGTAGACCGGCTCAGCCGGCCGGTCAAAGAGATAAAGGAGGCCACGATCTGCATCCGTCATCTTGGTGAACGATTCTATTTCTCAGTTGGATGAGTTTCCTTTATTAAAACGTTTTATCTTCAACAAATAACCCTCTACAGCCGTCTTGACAGACTTAAAGTACTGTAAAAAGCTGATTGTTCGATCAAATTTCGTTCAATTAAAAGAGTAATAAATTTATAGGAAGACGATAGGTATATTTATGCTAAAATTGACAACAAGTATCTGATACCCATGCCAACTATGTCGATTGCCTTTATACTAAGATTCTCAGGATACAGCGGTTTCCCTGTAAACATTTACCAAGACAAACAGTCGCCACAAATTCCGGTACGGAATCCCCGACCTCTTTTCTAATTTAATTTTTTTTGCTTCTCTTTATTTAATGCGGCTGGTTGTTTATTTTTACACCGAGTACTTAGGTTGGAATACCGAATGACCTACATGACATCCGCTATTTATTTAAATTCATAAAACATTCAGGTATGTGACAAAAAATTTATTTACTATTTTTTGGAAATAAACTTTTTTTTTTCATTTATCATAACTTTGTTTGTAATTATAATAATAATTGTTATTTTATTATTACTATAATTTAAGAAAAAATGGATTTTTCATGCGACCCAATTAACTTTTTCATTGCCCCATTTATAAAGAATGTCTCTCATTAGCATAGTTCTTTTTATGCTGTAAAGAAACTCTTTCATAAATAATAGTAAAGATATTTATCAACTGTTTATTTTACAGCCATCATCTAAGTTTAGAGGAGAAAAAAAAAAATTTTTTTTAAACTTTGTCGTGAATAATTTGTAAATAAAAAATAAATAAAATCACTTGGAGAAAATGAAACTTGGCATTATTATTCTGTTGGTACCAATCGACAAAACTGAATACAACTGATCATGAAAAAATTATTTCCACTTATCGTGAAATCACTTCGTAGCTGCAATTGACTTTTTTCTACGTCAGCGAATCAAAGAGTTCAATCGCAATAGTGCACATTCACTGATTAACATACATATGTATGTACCAATCGAATTTAACTGTCGATGAGAAGATCAATCGTCGGTGTTCTTCCACTAGAAGAACAATGATATGAATTACATTTTGTTGGATTTTATTTTTAATTAAAATTTTCATGAAATTAACTAACATAACTAATTAAATAACATTTATTTTCCTTCTTTAAATTAAACTTCAAAAGATGTCAAGATTTTTTAACCAATATTTATTGATTTTAAAATTTTTTTTGTTAACTTCTCCATTAGAAAGTTATTTTAATGAGTTTAATTTTTAAAATTCGTAATTTTATCACATCTTTACGTTTTAATACATTAGAAGGATTAAAAATTAATGGATGTACGTACGTACAATTGTACGTACGTATACCAGGTTTTTTTTTCGTTTTCGATATCTCGAAAACCACTGAAGATATCGACTCCAGACTAATTTCATTTTAAAGATAATATAATGAAGAAAATGTTGAAATAAATTTAAACAAATTCGGTTCAGTCGTTTTCTTTTAATAACAAAAAGAGTGTAAAATGAGCTGAGTAAAAAAGACATTTAAAAGAAATTATACTTATGAATGATTAATATTGTTGAAAACTGAGCTGAATATCAATACAATATGGTTGTTAATGATTTTACATGGCTCTAAACAATTATATATTGTTTATAAAAATTTTAATTTGTTACAAACAATTGAAAATGGTTTTTATTTATAGAATTCATGACTATGACTATATTTAATAAATATTGATAAAATATTGTTATAAATAATTTTATATAATTAAAGAATTGTATATTGTTTATAACAATAGCAATTTAAATGAATGGAAAGTTCCTCGTCAGGGCATATCTGACCTAAACTTCAATGCAATAAAGGTAAAATGATTTTTGAATTAATTATAAAAAAAATCTAATGACAATTTAAAATATAATTTAATTATTAAGAGAGAGAGAGAGAGAGAGTTAGATGGATAAACTCAATCTAGTGTAAGGAAATTAATATCCTATTCGACTGTTTTTCAGTAAATTTTTATTTAATACTTCCATTTGGAAACTGTCACTCGATATTTGCTCCTGGAAAACAAAATAATTACCAGGCATTTTATAAAAAATAAAAGACCAATAATAATATCGTTATCCTTGTCAAAACTTAACTACTTTAATCTTGTATTTATTTAGAATCGAGTTTGAAAAATATAAAAAAAAAGAACGAATAGAAAATGAAGTAGTTCAGTAATGTATAGAGTAACTCATATTTTTAGAAAGCTAATTTCCATTCATTGTGATGGTACATCGTATGATAGCACTTTTTTCATTTGATATCACTGCTGAGCTTGCAACAACATGTATATGTTATTGGCTTCAGGTTTACTATTAGTATGAGTAGGAAGAAAAGAGCAAAAATTAAATTTTTTTTTTATCTCATAAAACTTTTCCTTTATTAGACACTCCACGTGTATGGACATGTAATGGTAGCATAACGGTTGTTAGGTTCTCTCTAGCAAAGTGTAGTCTCTATGCATCGGTGAATCTATATGAATAAATCGCGGAGATGAGCGCTCGAGGCATTTTACTGGCACTTCCGGTAGTCTGCATAAAAACAAAAGCGTTCACTCCGGTTCGGTCCATTTTGGCATTTGTCTGGTCATAGAATAATATACCTATTCTGTATATTTCTCTATATATTTTATATATATATATACATATATATTTTTTTTAACGAAGCATGTGTTCTATTTGTACGAGGAAGAGAACATATCTCAAAATGCCAGCTATTGTTTTTGAATTTATTCTATGTTAGACTTTTTTTTATTTTTTTAATCTTTTAAAATAGTTTAAATTGAGATTTTTTAATTAATTGTTCAAGTTGAGGTCAAATGATTTATCTTTTTTTTTTTTTTTAATTTAACGTTGGATAATAACTAGTGTGAAAAATGTGGTTTACCATAAATTTTAGAATACACTCTGATAAAAGTCTCCCAAAATTTGGCACAAAAATGGTTAATAAATGATTAGATAAAATTTGTTTTAGCTTTATCAGTCATTTGGCTTGAATATAATGTTAAAAAAAATAAAAATTGTCTAGCAATCTTTAGAGTAATTAAATATATAGGTGTAAACATAAAAATATCTGCATGCGAGATAAAAATTTATCATCAATAAAACAAATGGTTGGTGTTACAAGAACCTTTTGTAAGTTTTAATAATAAAATAAATCATAAAAAATATATTTATAACTTCATAAAGAACTTATGTTTATATGTAATATCATTTTACAACATTATTAATTCAGCACCGATTTTTATAGCTACAAATCGTAAACTAAAATGACACTTTAAAATTTATAATAAAAAAATATACAAAAAAAAACAATAAAGTTTTAAAAATAGAAACACACATCAAGGTATACCTTGAACTATAGTTCTATTTCATTTCCATTCTAATCAGAATACAATTCTTTGAAATAATTATGAGGATTTCGAGTGGAGTAATAAATAAAATGTAAATTAAACGAATAAAAAATAGGTTAGAGGCTGAATTATGAATGTTTATTTATACGATGAATGTTACAGACATTTTTAGTCTGGCATACATTGTGACTGACTATTTAAATTGAACTTTACTGATATGTCATCTCTCAATCCATTGTTTCAATTTACTGTACATATTCTCATTTTCATATTGTATTTCAAACCCAATGGTCACGACTACAGTGATTAATCATAGGTATATTTATACATGTACATTTTGTTTTTTATTTTCTAACAATAAGAAAAATATTGGGGGCTTGATATAATAGTCCATAATTCGCAAAGATAATCACATTTTATTAAATATCCAGAATAATTGTATGTAATTATCACCATTAATATTATTATCATCATTTGCATAACTACATTATTTTTAAAATAAGCTGTAATTTTAGAAACTGAATTATTTTTTATTATTTTGTTCTGATGATACTCCTATCGTTACAATATTAACAATAAAATGTTAGTATTTATTTACAGTAACTACTGAGTTGTCAATGCTAATATTTTTGACGTGTATATTTTTTATGTGTTGCAGTCACAAGAAAATTATCGCGTGCGGTAAAACATTCGTTTTAGTTGAAAAAAAGTCTGATGGACGGTTTAATCTTAGATATACACGAAAAACATTTTATTTTTGCAATTGCTTGGATCACACTGTTGTCTGATATCTGTACTGTCAATCCATTTTCCATGACATCGTGTTGATGTGGACGTCATTATTTTCCACCTGCCGATTCCTGTTGATCCCAAAGGATTTTCATTCCGGCAGTTTCCATTTCCTGTGTTATTTTTACAGATGACACATATTTGTGTACCTGTGAAAAGATTTGCAAAAAAAATGTGATTTGAAAAAAAATAAAATAACTATATTTCATAGTATAGTATTTCTAAATAAAAATCAATGTATTGACCGGAAAAATAAAAGGGATTAGAACTATTCACCTTTTTTTTTTATATAAATACATGATTTATTAACTGCAAATCCGGAAAAATTCAAGTGTTTAGTGATAAATCACTAAAAGTGTTTAAAAGTTGACTACAAAATTGCCGTAGTTTGTTTATGATGTTTAACATTGCAAACACTTTAAGTGTTTAATTTCTAAACACTTGGGTTTTCAGTGTTATAAAATTTGAAAAAAACATTAATAAATTATTGTACTTGAAAGAAATGTAAAATTTCAAAGAAATATAAATATCATTTATTTAAATAATTAATTAATCTCATTTATTTATATACTAAATTATTATTCAATTTAAAAAAGATCCTGAATGAAGTGAAGGAAGGAAAATTTTAACTTAAGTAGCATAAAAATTTCAAATTAATTAAAATTTATCTCGTAAAAAGATTGAATTTATTCATAAGAATTAATAGCTCAGAGGGAGAGAATTTTATTCAACATTGCCCGTAAAAATAACATTAATGAGCAAAAAAATTAAACATCGTTACTGTACATGACGTAATTATCGAATGAGTGAACACGCGAAAGAACGAACACGATAAGTTGCGGTCATAAAGTTTTTTTAGTGTTACTCCAAGCAGCGTGCAATTAGATGGCGGCTTAGACGGATCACAGGTGCACCTATCACAAAAGCAATTAATGAAATTATGGCTCGCAATGACGCAATAAAATCCAGAAAGTTCCTTATATAAGAATAATGTATACAAAAAAATATTGTCATTATACATAATCAACTTAATTATTCATTTAAATGGTTGTGAATCAAAGAACTTTCAATTTAATTCATTCAAGAGTTTGTTAATAATTGAAAGAAGATTAAAAAATTAAAAAAATGACAAATTAACGAATGGTTAAATAGACCTTTAATTAAAAGGATGTTTTAAAAATATTTACTAAGAAAGATAAAACTTTTGAATATTGAAAAACTAAAGTTAAAATTTAATTTAAATATCACTTTTGGTTACGTTGTTTTTACAGGTGTGTACAGAGTCATAAAACATAATTGAAGCATAAGTTTGATAAGAGTTGCGTTACTGTCACACACAATTATGTCAACGGTAGACACGCAAGAGCAACTACTTGATAAGCTCATGATCGTAAAGCTGTCTTGGCCTTTATCACTCTCGCCACGCTGTTCGTGTAAAAAAAAAAAATAAAAAAAAAGGTGTAAAAGAAGAAAACACTTTGAAAAGAAAGGAAGAAAGAAAATTGAGGTAAAATAAAATATTCTACAAATCGTAAAAGGTTCAGAGGCATGTGACGGAAGTTGGTAATGTTTTGCTTGAATTAAAATCCTTCTTCAAGCTACTTTGAGTTGTATGAGGATGAAGCTTGGATCTGGATGGAAATGACTTTGTTGTATATCCTTAGACAGCTTGTACGATGTAAAAACTCAAATGCAAATTACATCCAGGATTTAACCATTTGGTAATCAAATTCATTTCAACAAAAATGAACATTTGTTAGAGTTGAATTACAGAATGAATTTTTAATTTGCTGTTTAAAAATCATTTTATAATTGCCATGTATAAAATTGAAAAGGGAATATTTAGTAAGCTTTTTGAATTATAAAGGAAGAAAAAATAAACTACATTAATAATAATAATAATGTAATGTAAAGAGAAAAAAAAAGTAATTTCTTTTGAAAAAGTTTCTTCAATTATTTTTATGAAATACTTTTCTTTTGGAAATTGAAAAAAAGATTTTGCTACATTGAAGTATATTTTGTTTTGAAGGGAAATTATTGTTGTATCTCTCGATGTATTGTGTAGAAAAAATAATGAGCTTTTATTTTTTAGGTGTAATAAAAATCGAAATAAATTCGCCCGAGGAAAAATACAGAGGTTATATTTACACGGTGAGAAGAGATGAAAGAGGGAAGAAAAAGAAGAGGTATATGAGAGGACTTTAGGACGCCCCGGAAGTCAAGTCTCGTTGACCCGAAGACTCAAGTCGAAGAGCAGCCTGCACGACAAACAACCTCTCATACGCGTCCCTCACTCTTTTATATACTCTCATATTTTAAGAGATCTTTCTCTCCCATGATCGAGATACTATATTTTTTTCTCTTTATTTCTTTGTTTGGCCTCAAAACTCAAATATTTTTAAAAAAAATTTACCTAGAGTTATACCCGGAAAATCCTTGCCACATGCTCGAGATGCCCAAATGACCGTAAAAGTGGAGCAAACTCTGAAAAATGTCAGAAAAATCTCATAAATTCTCTTTTCGCTTTTTACAGATAATGAAAAAATTTATTTTACTTTTACTATCAAAAATTTATAAAGATTTTAAATAATTTATTCCCTTTTAAGACTATTTTATTTAAATAAATATCATCTTCATAGTGTCATTTAATTAAACATCTTTTTCCAAAAAAAGATCATCAATATATTTGATAGATTTATTTAATAATTAAATAGAATTAATTCAGTACAGAATTATAGTAATTGTTTATGCCACGTAATACTCGTCTAATACGTAATGTTTGGTCCTGTTTTATATAATAGATATTCCAATGCAGGATAATCAACCAATTTTGATCCAGATGCATTTTATACAATTGCATATTATTACAATTGCATCCCTGCTCTTATTGGAAATAGAATATCGTAGTTACGTTTAAATCAATATATTTATTTTCATCGCATTGCAGTTAGCATATGAAACAAGACACTTTGATTTAATGCTATCGTCATTATAATAATGTTTTATTAATGTGATTAACCAGCATTTCTAATTTGTGCAATATATTATGATAAATTTAATCCATCAATTATGTATGTATATTCAGCATTTTCATTTTATTCAATTATTCTTTAGATTATTTTCAAAATTGAAATTCTTGAGAAAATTAATTAAATGAAAATTTTCAAAGATAAAACTCATTTTCAACTAATCGAATACATTTTTTAAGAAATAGGAATATGTAGTGATGAAAATAATAGAAAACTTATTCTATTAGAATATAAATTTAAATCATAGAACGATGACATTTTCATACGGATTAAACTTTGTTGAATTCAGTTAATCGGGTTTGTGAACTTGAACTTGTGCCAATTTTCTTGTTCTGTTCGAGAAATAAATTTCACAGACAAAAGTATTCTCTCTTGACTAATTTTATCATCACTCATTTTTCGTTTCATGTATTTTTGAATTTATACAAACAATTTATCATGCTGAATAATTTTATTTTACATAAAAAATTAACTAGTCAAGTTATTTTATTATATTATTCTGAATAAGAGTATTGGAATTTAAATATATTCCTATGTTTATGATGAATTTTAATAAAAAATTAAATTAACTCATGATGGAATTAAATTTCATTCTATATGGAATAGAATCTAATGTAATTAAATATTTAAATTGAAATTTCCTTGTAAAATAATATTATTGCATAATTTTGTATTGTGAATAGCTTGATATAATAGTATCAATAGATATACTCAGATGTACTTAAAGAGTTCAGAAAATAAAAGACATGAAATACTCGTTTTACAATTTTGACTTTATAGCTTTTCAACTTCTGTGACACGAGTAATTTTCCGGCTTAGTCCTTTGAACATCAAGGATACGATGCACGACTTACCCGTGAACTGCGATCGTTGTCTCATTCAACTTGAAATTCACCTCAGACCATGTCATGAGTAAAGTCACGTCTGAAAGTTAAAAAAAGAAACAGAATTATATCAGTATTAAAGCATGCCAAGTAAAGAATTAATTCGTCTTAGACCATTTTCTAAATAAATAACAATATATTTTAATTTATTTTATCATTAAAAGTTTTCTTATTGATAAAAATACCTTCTATTGAACAATTGGGTTTTAATAGTGATAGGAGATAATAATATTCTGATTTAATAATGAATTTTTTGAATTCATATTTAAATTTTTATTAAAGTAAATATGAGAACTTACTATTTGCATACAAATCTTTTTCTCGATGGCGACATCCAATGTGTTCTTGACATATCCTTGATTGTTCAAGTTGTGGACAATGTTTTCCTCCATTCTGTTTAGATTGTGTGATCACACGTATTCTTGACTGTATACCCACACCACATAAATTATCACAAGCTGACCAGGTTCCCCATTCACTTACTGTACAGTCGACAACTGTAAAAAAAAATTTAATATCAATTATTAATCAAATTTATCTCATCTTATATTATTTGATGAATATTGAAGAGATATATCTTCAGTATCTGAAGAGAATTAGTTTCGTAGTAGTTCTGTATATCATTTTTTCTTCTTTCTCTGATAACGAATATAAAGGTAACATAATTAAAAAGTCTAGTTGAATATAAATTTTTTTTTTTTTCAATTCATGTGCTGATCGAATGAGAATTTTTGTTAAATATTTCTTGAAAGAATTTTTTCTCTTCTTTTCATCTTGCTATTCCGGCGTCAATCTGAGATTTCGTTCGAGAGCTTCAGTTCAGTACCATCGATCAGGCGATCAGTCTTTTGGACAAAAGCTTTCACTGGCGCAAGACACTCGGGGAAAAAGGATAAAAATTGATCAAGTACAGCAACGAAGAACAGGAGATGGCAGAAGGAAAGATAGAATACTTTTTCGATTCTTTCACTTTCACATGGCAATCCCTCTAGAATTGATTTTCGATTGAACTCAATTTCAAGAACAAAAATGAATTAATCATCCTTTTGCTTGTACAATAACAGAAGTCTATCATAAAAAATTAATTCTTATCAATAAATAGGAAACAGCAATTTCTTTTGGACATATAAGATCTCTCAATTATTGAAACATTTTTTTTTTCAATCCTTCTTCTATCCATCAATAAAAAGTAACATTGGCTTGTGTGCCATTTGATAATAGATGAGCCTTTAAATGGCACTTTAAAATATTAATCATATTCTTTAGACATCACTTATCATTCGCATGTGTATGTGTATGTGTCTGCAAGGATTTATCGCAGCTTATATGGACACTCGGATAGACTAGAAAATATATAGAGGCGTTGATCTTATAATGCTGTATTTCTTCAATGTTGAAGCAGCTCTACGTTTTATCCTTTCTCTCATGCGTCCTCTTTTATACACACTTCTTTCGCAGTATGTTAGAGCTATAAATAAGCTTGAGACTCTTTTACTTTTACTAGAAATTTCATACGCCACAAAATTGCAAAGAATAAAATTGCAAGATCTGGAAACTGACAGATGTTCTTTTGTATGTAGAATCCGAATACTTAGGATTATGCTTTATTGTGTATCAATACAATATAACTTTGAATTTCCCCGAGACAGAATTTAAAATATTTTTTTAACTTCAAAGTCTTCAATTACAACTTTGATGTTGAAATTCGAATTGCAAGTATGTAACCATACATATAATCTAAGCCCATTTTCGACTTCAATTTTGTTATTTTGCCCGCTTTAACGAAGTTGATGTTAAAAATGGATCTTATAAAATTTATTTTGAACCTCAAAAATGTATTAATGCCATATAAATAATGTTCCAAAAATTTATGATGATATTGATGACTGAAATAAGATTTTTAGATCAATGTAAGTCGTCAAAATCTTCAATGAAGTTGATGATTCCCAAAATGGAATTAAATTATAGACGGCACTTGGAACATTAAAGAAATAAAAAATTTTGAAGTTGAAATTGAACTTTAAATTTAGTCACGGATTTATATTGATTCTTTTCTCGTTTTATTATTATCATACTTTTCATTTGTTTTACAATAATTCAGTTGAAATTTTAAAATTTATAGATCGCAATGTCAAATATATTTTGACATTGACGTTTTATTATGTAGGAATGATCGATTAACATGATGCGTTTGATGTTAAGTGAAGTTGATTTGAATAGATTTTTTTCATGCATTCACCGAAGCTCTTTCGGTCAACTCATCAGGTCTATTTCAGTCAATAAATATTTTTCAATAACCAGACAAAAATGGTTTTAATTATTTAATTTATATTTTTCAATCAAATACACTCGAAAAATTTTTTTTATATCTCTAATTGATAATGTGTTAATGATTATTTAATTAAAAAAGAAATTCAATGATAATTATTTTAAAACAAACTTTCTCTGTACATAGAATGAAAAAAAAAATTTCTTTTATTTAATATAAAAGAAAAAAAATGAAAAAAAAACATACCACTGCAAGTTTCACGAAAATCATCACAGCAATCATTTAATTTAAGACAAGCGTGGTCACAGTAGCACGGCTTATCTTTGGGACTCTCAATTATCGCATTTGGCGAAACTTTTTGAATAACACATCCAGAATCACGTCCTTGACAGCATAGCTTTGCTGCTTTACAGCTGCCTCCAGCGCTTTTGTCTACAAAAGACAAAACTATCACGATAAAATATTGTACAAGTGTCAGCTTCATGTCTCTACAAAATGTTATCTCAGTAAAAAATATATCCACTACGTATTATATATTCTTGATTCACAATTAAATAAATAAAATAAAATTCACCGAGGCTTATTGATTTTTTTAATTACAAAACACTCATTCGTTTTTAATTATTTCTTTTTTTCTATTCTGTCGCTCCATAGAATATACTTTGTTCATTAAAGTCATTGCAATTTCGTATTTCACACGATAATTACGATTTTCATTACACACCGGTAATTAACTATGCTGTCGAACTTTTGTAACTCGAGTTTATCACTTTTTTCTGTAATTTATCATTCAATGAATAAGCTTGAGACACAACTCTAGATCATTCACATGTACATTATATTTTTAAATAAACAAAAAGTCATTCAAGACAAATAAAATTTGATGTCTTAAACAATTAATTTTTTTATTGATAAAATTTATTGAAGTAATTATAAATAGTTTATTAAATAAAAAATATGTAAGATAATTTGAAAGTTTTATGGAACAAAGGGGAAAAAAATTTTGCTGATATATTAAAGATATAAATCAAAGCGAAAATAAATTTAAAATATTTTCAACGTCGTCATTCACTTTTAATACATTTGCATGACGAACGTCAGTTAGTCAAGGGAATAATATTTCGCCTTTTCAGTGTACTCTCGCACCGACGTGAACCAACTAACGCAACCCCTCGTAGATTTGGCGCTTCTTGGTCGTTCTCTGAATTATTAAATCTTCAGCGCATGCTCAGCATCCCTTCCAAAGTGTTTGAAACATTTGCAACCAAATCTTTTTTTATAAATAATATATAAAGTCATGCAAAATGAACTAATGTTCCTATTTATTTTTAACAAATAAATTTGAAATGCCGAGATTTTACAATATATTGCCGCTCGAATCAACGTCATACAAAAACGTAATTATTTTCAACAGTCAGCTGCAGTTTTAATTGATGGATATTTTATGCATTAAAGGATTACGAATATTACTTTTATGCATGGAATCGAATAATTTAATATATTATATTCAGTTGATTGACACATTAATATAAATAAGTAATGGTTTAATGATTGATACATTAGATAAAAGTTCAATATTATGCTAGAAATAGTTGGTCAATTAATTATCACTGAGAGTTATTTATTTGTTTAATATTTTGTTAATATGTTAAGTGACATGGTTAATTGTTTGAGTTTCAATCGATATCGAATACTAGATAACAAAACAAAGCATGCAGGTGAAATAGATGAAAAATATATATCTGATAGAGTGGATTGTTTAAAAGCCATTACTTTAGAGAGTATACCAGTCATGATTGTCAATTGGAACTTTAATTGAGTACATTTTTCATATTTAATTGGACATTATTGTTGTATTTATAAACATAGAAAGCACAAGTTGATTCAATTAATTACAGACTGATTATAAAAGTCTAAATATATGAGCAGAGGGGCTATTGTTATCGAGTTGGGTTGTTGGAGAGCTTTTGATCATTCTTAGTTAGAATCAACTGCTCTATGGGCTCCAACAACCAGATTATGTTGATTAGATTAAAGGTCCGGGATAGCGCGAACGCAGTCCCGACTACCAAAAATTATACGCCCGAGATATCCACATTAGGGATATTCGCAAGGGTCAGCTCAACCGGTGTGCAATGGAAGAGCCTCGCCCTGGAGGAACCGCCTTCATGATCACGGTAGCCTCTGCGCCAGGTAAGTATGCTTTCCATCGTGTTGATTTGGTATTTATTAACATTTGGGGTGGTTTAGACTTCCAGACAAATTTGGACATCTAGTGGTGTATGTTTTAAGTAATCTAATGCTCTCAACTGCTTTCCAGTTGCACGGGTGATGCTTGAATATCAGTCTGAAGGGTTCACTTGATACGGTGAATAATCAAAAGTAAAAAACCTGTTCATTACAGATTTATTCAATAATTTTAATCTTTGTGAATACTGATAGATAAACATTACATTTTCCTTCTAGAAGAAGATTGAATCGAAAATTAAGTTTGATGCATTAATTTAAAATTGTCAATAATCAATTATGTATATAGAAACAGTTAATTTTATTTGTTTTTTGAAAGATTGAATGAATGATTAATTATTTAAATATTAATAGTAGGTTTTATCTGTTTCATTCTAACAATTTGATAATGAAATTATAAATAATACTCATAAATTCTAATGATGGAAAACACATTCGTATTGGATGACAATGATGATTGAATTAATGAGCCCTATTATAATTAATGAATGAGAATAGTAGGCAATAGAAGGTAGAATATTTATTGAGTTAATCATCTGTAAGGGTTTTAACTCCATTTCCAATAGTATAATTTTAAGCTAGGACTCAGAATATGACCATTAATTATTAATTGATAGTATATTTCTCATTATAATTTTATGATGAAATTAAAAAAAATTAAGCTTGCGAAAAAGAGATTTGTTTGATCTAGGTATCATTTTATTTAAACTATGTTCTAATTAGAGATATGCAGAGGAAGATAGGGAATAAAGTGGATCACAAAGAAATAAATGTAAATTATTCAAATTAATTAATATATTAACAAATGTTAATCATTTTTAATGCATTAATAAATCGAAAAATTGGAAAAAAAAATAAAAAGCAATAAACATTTTCAAGTTCATTTTAGAATGAAATTAAACATTCTTTCATTTCACTTTACCCTCCCCCCTGTCCCTTTATAATTATGCATCATAAACTTTTCTAGGCAATTTTTTAATTAAAAATAATGAAATATGTCATCTTTGTCACCTTATTAAGTTTAGGACTCGCCTTCATGTAATAGCAAGAGATCTAGACATTGCTGAAGAATGGAACTTATTACTTATTATCAAGTGAGAGATTCTTTGAAGAGAGTAGATTCTAAAGGGATTATGTTGATTAGATTAAAGGTCCGGGATAGCGCGAACGCAGTCCCGACTACCAAAAATTATACGCCCGAGATATCCACATTAGGGATATTCGCAAGGGTCAGCTCGACCGTAGTGCAATGGAAGAGCCTCGCCCTGGAGGAACCGCCTTCTTGATCACGGTAACCTCTGCGCCAGGTAAGTATGCTTAAACTCACGCTGGATTCGTATATAAAACCTTTAAACGACATTCTTCATACGAACAATCAAAACGATCGTGCGCACCATCACGGCAACTCTAGGAACTACGCGACCCGGATCGTTGGTACACGTGCACTCTTCTCTATTCAAGTTGCACAGACAAATATAAACATTTTATCAATTTTTATTTGAATAATTAATCGCAATGAGCTCTTTTAATTCATATCAATCATATAATCTCATAATATATTGTTAACTCTAATTAATTAACATTTTAATTCAATAATTGTAATGCAAATTACATTTGTCCAATATTAATTATGATATTAATGAATTTATAAATTTTCATGTAAGAAATGTATTTAAAATAAATATTAATTTTAAAATTAAATTAAACTTTTTTCTGAATTCATGGTAGGTCTTCGAATTCCACTTAAGTAGCATTATTTGAAACTCTCATTTCAAGATTGATAATGGAAGTGCATATTTGAACGTGAATAAAGTACTTTGTCCATCAAAACACTTGACCTGAATGCATTGAACCGTAAACAACCATTGGTAAGTTAAATTACAGTCAGCTGTATGTAGTGGCATTATCTATTATTTTATTGAATGAAGATGAAAGATATCAAGTAGATATCAGTGGGTTACGTGTTGATAGAAAAAATGATAAAATATGACAAGTGAAGCATTAGTTGGTTTTGCTTGATGTGAAATAAAGTAGTGATCCACCTAGGACTACTACTCCAGGTAAAACTGCATAGGCATCAAGATAAGTCCCGTGTTAACATGTGTTTTCACACCTTGTCTGCAACGAAACAAATAGTTCAGGCGGATGGAGGCGTTTCCCAGACGCTTTACTGGAGAAGATTAATGATGCTTGCTCAACAGAAAATAGCGCGTCACGATTCTAGCCTGCTAGATAGCAGGAATTGTTGAAAAAACAATAAAAATAAAAAAAGTGCTATTTAAAAAAAAAAAAGGATATAGGAGTACATTTGGTGAATTAAGAAAAGCAATTTACAACACATCCTTTATCATGGTTCTGCATGTTAATATTTAATCCAGATGATATATGGGGAGAAAAAGTCAGTTGGTGTCATTGTTATATGATTAATATAATTGCAAACAAAAATTGACAAAGTAAGTAATTAGATTGCAGGTTTGGTTGGCGCGTTATATGCTAAAGAGAATTCAAATAGCATCAAGCATTCTGTATAGAAGCATCTGGTATAGCTATATACGTGAAGAAGTAAGTCAGAGGAGAAAAAAAGCGATAAAAAAGTCATTCTGGTGTCGTTCAAGATGAATAATGCATTACGAATTCACTAACGTTTCTACTGTTGTCCTCATGTGTGCATACTGGTAAATTTCTTTTTTACAAGTTTGACTGGCAGTGATGTGCATAAAAATGAATTTTCTCATATTATTCCATCATCTAAGCCATTGATTCTTCATTTCATAGTCGATAGAGTTGAGAAAAATGTGCCACATGCAAAAAGTTGTCCCAAGTTTTCATCAAATAAAGAATCATTTTTCAAAATATATTAAAAATTAAAATTCCTAGTTGAAGTTTATTTGATTGATTCTTTTACCATTTACTACAGTAATCTATCTTCTCTCTAGGTAAATTATTTTAGAGAACAGTGCTTTTTAAGATTACAATATTTTTGAAGATAAGTCTTAAGAATGAAAATTAAAAGTTTAAACGTCCATATGTATTTTAATTATATTCCTCCAACTTGCATGGAGTGCATTTTAACTTACTGTTCAAGTGTGAGCTACAATAAATTTTAAATAATATACATTTAATTCAATTTTTTATTAAAAATCACATACATCACCTTTTTTTGGAGTAAATTTCAATGTTTTCAATATTTTTACATCCAACTTACTTTTCAAAATAACTTTAAAAGTGTTAAGTTTTACCACCCCTCTTGTTTTATGTTGTATACGTCTTACCAGATGGAGTATTTTACTACTATTGATACTGGTGGTCGCGGAGTTGGAGTCTAACATATCGCTGCTTAAGGTTAAATAAGGAATCTGCACGTAGCAGCATCCATGAATACTTTTAATAAAACTTAAAAAGTTTACTTTCTGTTTGGGCGTGACTGTATAGTAGGCTGTGGCATAAGATGAAACTTGAACTTTGATATTACCTGACTTAACTACATAGCAGTGAAGTTTCTTGATTTCTTCTCTTGAACAAAATTCTAAGATTGACGCCAGCTTTGCATTTAAATCGTATAGTTATTTTAAAAATTCAAATTAAATATTGTTTTTACAATTTTTCTCTGCTATACATTTTTTTTTTACTCAAAAAAAAAAATTATCTGTGCACATTATATCTCATGACCTTTTTTTTATTTCACTTTACACCCTCAAATAAGGGTAGTTTCCAACAGACAAAAACTAAAACGACTCTAATTATCATTCTGGAACTTTGAAAAACCTTCTAAAGCATTCAAAAAGAGCTTACCCATTTCACCCCACTGATTTTTTTAAGTCTTTTTATAAAAATATATATGTGTCGTAATACTGAATACCAAAACCATCTGAATGAAACGTTTCTGCGTTATTGGTGCAGTTTAGAGATCGTTTTTTTATGGCTACATCATTTCACTCTACAAGGATCAGACATGTACGAATGAACGAGCACACAAAGATAGAATCGAAAAGTAGCAAAAATTGTTTGTAAAAAGGATAAAAATCCTAGCAATGGTATGATACCATGTAGAGAGCATTAGTGTGAACTCATTCACTGCCAATCCTTTAAGCATAGGAAGAGACGGTAACATTGAAAATTGCAGCTCTTTCTGGAAATAATGTTGAACGAATAAAACTGAGGATTACATCGACTAAAGTAATGAGCATTTGTGGTCATTCTCATGAGAAACAATTGGAAAGTAAATATATGCTATGTATAAGAAGTAATGGAAGGATTATAATTGTCAATCAAGTGATGTGAGATTCAATATATTTTTATGTCACTTCATTGATTACTTTATCAATCAAATCTGTTACCATTTAATTATTCTTTGTGTAGTATCCTATATTCATTTTCTTTTTGCAACTTTCCAATTTGGAGCATAATAAAAAAAATTATAAGGCTATATTACACTTGGCAATTTATTAGAACTTCAAATAGAATGGAAAAAAAAAAATTTAATCGTAAAACTATTAATTCAAACCTTTCGTTATCGACAGTCCTGAATGATTTATGACTTTTTTTTTATTTAATACATTTAGGATGGATTCATACTTAATTTCATTTTAGGAAATATTTTTTCATAAAAAATTTATTGGGTAAATAGGTAATTAGATTTAATTATTCATAATGAGAAGTGATTATTTATTTGAATGGGAATAAATTTTAATAAAAAGATGAAATATGATGTTTAAGTGAAAGATAAGTTTTATGAAAGGAATGTTGTGAAACTACGAGAATAATTAAGTACTAGATAGACTAACAGACATCTTGATAGAAGACAATGAAGAGTATCACCCCACAAGAGAGAATTACTTGCTCAGAATGGCCATATCAGAGTAATTCAGAAGAAAATACTATCTAACAAGATGCTTAATGTTATTTTACAACTTAACCACTTCTCAGTAGTTGATAGTAATAAAACTATTCTTAAGAAAATTCTGAGATACTTCAATTTGCTAACACTTTGTTGACATTTCATTATTATTCGTTTATTTTAAGATCCTCTAGACTGAGTTATTAATCTTCTTTATTTTAAAGTGAACTTTAAATAATTAGTTATTAGTCTCGGTAAAAAGTTGTTGACAACAAGGAAAAAAGTTAATTATTTATAAATAATTTCCAAGCTGGATATCTCATCAATGACAGAATAATTGACGAGGTAACATGCAAATTTACTTAAAAATCAAACGCACTACATTACAAGTGATGTGTGAAAATATATGAGGCTATTAGACAATAATAAATCGATCATGGAGTCCAACGAGCTCTGAGGATGACCATTATCGTAATTCTCCAACAGCTGGGATGATGCAAGACGTGGTGGGTGGAGTGCACTGACTTATCATTTCCTTTCCCAGGAGGATTCTGCTTTTGCTAACGCAGGTTGCCATCACATTATCTCTGAACACTGGCCAAATTGTGAACTAACCGGAATAACGAGGATGTTGGAATTCCTTCGAGAAATTGTGCACCTTTTTCCTCACGTTTTTTTTGTCGCTATAGTAATTGAGTAATTGAATTTAACTTAAACATGAAAATGAATATTATGAAAATTATTACAAAAGTTCTGGGAGAAATCTCATTAAAATTTGTTTACAATTCTAAATTAAAATTTTGTTATAAAGAATTGTTTTATAAAAGGGCAACTCTTTTTAAATGTTTTTTTTCAAAGTTTTCTATACATATGAATGTTCTCATAAAATGACATTGTCTGGATTTTAATAAAAAAAATACTGCTATTTTTTAAAGTAATATTAAATTAAAAATAACTTGTTATTTTATTCATTGTATGTATCAAGCTTTGTTAGATGTCTTAATAAAATGTAGACCTTCAAAGCTTAAATTAATGGTCCAGTTCACAAAACAAATTAAAGGAATTGAATTTTTCCCCAAAGAATTGGATATAAAATAAAAAAATGCATTTATTGATACACAAGCTCATGTGTTTCCAGTGGATGCGACTGAATAGAACTTATAGGTACTCGATGTAATAGAGTTGGGTTCTCCACTCTTTGCTCTTTTCTTTTTTCTGTATTTCCGCAGCACCCACGGGCACAGGAAATTTTTCTCGTACTTTCGGTCCAACAGAGTACGTGAGTATTGACTTCGTCCTGGGAGCCAATAATCCTTTATTGCTCTCCAGTCTTTTGCTACTATCTTAATTTTTACGACGATACTCAGATAAAACTTCTTGGAAGTTACTCTGTTCGCTCATTTCCTTTTCTATACTATATTCACTATTTTTTAAACTTTATTTAATAATTTACATTTTTTGCTTATTCCATCTTTAACTTTCTTCCTTTTATAATTCATTAATGTATGAAGTTTGAATTCTTTAGTAAGTAGTTAAATTTCTTTATCTAAAAATAAAGTATAAAAATTTAATCTTTTAACTCAGCATACTCTTTTTTTCATAACGAGTTATAAATGATGAGAAAAATCTAATTCATCTTAATAAGATAAAAAACATTTCCAAGTATATTTAATGAATTTTCACGATGTCTATAAAAATTGATTGGAAGAACTTCATCGTTCAGAATGTAATTATGAAAACTCATTACCCACTCTCTTTTATCATACAATATTAGTTCACGATTTAATGAAAAATGTGACAAAATATGATCAATTTAATGGAATTAAAATTTTTATTAATTATTGAAAGCAGTATGAATGTTTGAATTTAATTTATCGCATGTAATTAATAATTTCAGTCTAAATCTTTTCTCAATTACTCCACAAGTATCTCCTAAATTAAATTTATTTTATTTAACAATAAATCATTAATTACCCTACTAAAAATTAAATAGAAAAATTATTAAAATTTTTATTAAATAAATTTAATTGAATTTTTATTTTTCTATCCAATATTTAATATTTAAATTGAAACAATAGTCGTACAAAAAGTTTTTCTTCTACTTACTTTCTACTTTAAATGATAATTAGTTTATGCAAATTTAAAATTCAAATGAAAATAAAATGTGGTTTTGGTTGACAAAGAGATGCATCACACTTGGATCCAGTCTTCTTAGTACGGATCCATTTGCCATAGCAATGTGGTGATGATAATAAACTCCATCTTGTAATCATGCCTTCAGCACCACCATCACCTTCACATCGATAATCAAGAAATGGTCTGAAAGCTGATGTTTGACATTGGACGCAGACGCGTGAACCTGTAATTATCAAACAGATGTTAGCGTCAAATCTATATCTCTGCCTGTCATTGCCTCAATATTCCAATCACATTTCATTGAACGAAAAATTATTTCATTTAGTATTGATTGAACTGTGCTTGGAATAATTAAACTTCATAATCGGTACGAATAAACAAACAACTGCATTGTTCTGCAATATTTAATTATTGCTGAATCTCCATTAAAAAAATTATTTTAATCACGAGAATAATTTATAATACGTTATAGTAAGTAAATTACAGTAGCTGTAAAATTAGCATGTTTAGTTTAGTTAAGTACAGGGAGAGAGTTTACGATCAATTAAACGCAGATGAGACTATAATGTATAGTATATAATATGCTACTTATGTACTTATACTAACTAGAAACTACATGGATATGCATATGCATTGAACGAAATCCATAAGCTCATATATCCTACTCCTTCTATTCGTCAATCCCCAAAATTCAGGATAGCTTCCGCCAATTTCATATCCCGGATTTCTCTTCGTTCCAAGGATGTAAATTACAACTGTTTCCGATTCATTCGAGCTGTAGATACATGCTTGTCACTTGATAACGTATGTGAAATTGATGTATATACAAGGGTACATTAAATTATTACGGTTGCTGTCGACCACAGACACGTCAAGCCAAATGACTAGGGGGAAAAATAACGGAAGACAAAGAGGAAATGTCTTGGAAGTAGCAGGGAAATCGTATAGACTTGAACGGAAAATGATGACAAAAGCAATATCAGTGAAATTTAAAAACACTTCATTTCATTTACTCTCTTGAATCTTGGTGTCAATTTTTTTTTTCCTTCAAATAATAAACGATTATCTTTGGAAATTTTTTTCTTCTCACCTTCTAGGAGTTCTGAACGACTTGACTTCCTAATGCACTCTGGAGATGCCTTCATTATGGTGAATGTGATGCAGTACCTGAGACAGATAATAGATTTTTTTTTTTAAAAGTTAATTCAACACTTTTTATTTAAGATTAAAAATTAAATTTTTTTTTCTTTTTACCACAGTCAATAATTAATGGAAAAATTTAAATAGAGAATACGATTCTGGTCTTAATTTACTCAAAAACTCTTCGCCAACAAATTTATATGTACATATTTACTGGTTGCTTTAACTGATGCTAATGTTTATGTCAGTATAATTTGAAGAACTTTGATAAACTACATAATTTATAAATAAAGACATTTTATTAAAATTTTCTTTAGAAAGTATTTGAAAAATAATTTTTCTACATAAATAATCTCCAATAAACTCAAAGCCCCAATATTCTATAGAAATATATGCTGGTATAACTTTTGAAAAATCTCGATTAAATACGAAAACTCGAGAGAGTATCATCATATAAATAACGTCAAATAGAATCAGCAACATTCATATAAAACTTGATACTTTCAATATTACTTTCTGGAAAATCTCTAACATGACTGCATACACATCTCGAATATTGAAAGAAACCAGTGGAATGGTTTCATAATGCAGTACCTTTTGAATTATATATAACTAAATATATACTGAAAAGTAATAGAAAAACAAGATAGATAAAATTATAAAAAAACACTTTGAATTATTTAAAAATAAAATATAAGTTTAACTGTTGTTTTCCATTAAACTAAAGAATAGTATCCATTTTTTATAATTATTTCTAACAAGACCAATTTAAAAGAAAGTTTGAGAACAAGTGAAAAACATTAATTACTTCTTCTTAGAATCTATTTCCGTACATAAACATTTCTATTTGAGTGAATGAAAATAGTGAAAATTTATTGTTCAAGTTCTCCAAGAAATCGATAAACCAATTCGCTTATAAAAACGACAATTGATCTCTCTAACTGATAGGGAGTGTGGACATCAGTGAAGAATTGTGAATGTGAGTGCGGTGTGCGCTGCATCTCCATTGGAATGACGATTGCGTTTGCTCATATCTAAGTTTGGCGAACTCTTGAAAATAAAGTTTCTGAAGGGTAAATTCGTTCTCATTCTTCCACTTCTTTCTTAAAATTCTTTTTTCCTTCTTTCACTTCTTCTTCATCTTTTTCTTACAGCACTTTGGCCAACAGTACTACGATCTGCAGACAAACTTGTCGAGTGTAGAATTCGAATAAAGGGTAAAAAGCCATTTCCATCACTTTGAGCCTGTCAATTTCACTCGATTTACTTTTACTGATTGAAAAGTTTTACTATTTATTGGTTTATTAGATTATTTTACATGTGTGTGCTTTAAGAAATCCTATTAAATCCTAAATGATCGTCTTAATGAATTTTTTTCTTCAATTTAAAAATATATGTTGAGTTTTTTCTAAAGCAAAAAGCAGGTAAACTAATGAGACCTTGAAACTTAACAACTTCTTGAGAGTAAATTTTTTTTTTTTTTGCTGTAACTTTCAAAAATAATTTTTTTCTTTTCTATTATAAACAAATTTGTATTCATAAGTGTTACATTTCAAAATAATTGTTATTACAAAGTGTGATAAAGTCTTACATTCCATATCAAATATTTTACAAGCATATTCCAGCTTTTCTTCTTTATTTGCATACCACTTTCTTTCTTTTCTATACTTCTTTTATCTTACATAAGATATTACCTCTTAAATTTTTCTCACGACACTTTATAATAGCAATTCTTCCACAAATTTCCATACATTTTTTTAATTTTCATTTTTCATACATTTCTCGATTTTTTAATATTAAAATTATCATCAATATAATTTTCAATTCTCTTTTTTAAAATTAGATTCTCAACATTAATATTATTAATATTGATATAAATAAAATGTTTTTATAGTTACGTTCATGAAGAAAAATAGTTTTTAAGAATTATGAAGAGTATCATACTGATGAAGCCAACATCTTTAATAAATATTTTTAAAAAATCCTCTTTATGTTTTATTGTTTCGCTCCTTATTATCACAAAGGTCAACCATCCAACTATTTTCGTACTCTTTTATTTTTATTTTCTTCAACTATTTTTCATATTTCATAATGATGAAGATTTTGTTTTTTTACTTCTTCTTGAAATTCTTCTAATGAATTTTAGTTTTGTCATATTTATTTGCTTGACATCTATTGAATAAGTTTCTCTTATAATAATTTTAATAAAATTTCATAAACTTCCAAAATAATGAAATGTTGAATAATAAACTGGACATTCTAAAAAGGATCATATTTTATGTTTATTAAACGTCATGTTCCTTTAATAAATATACGTATTTAAATATCAGTCTGGGATAATTTGTTGGTTGCGAGTCATACTTGAAGTCTGTAATGTGCACTGTTCTACAACCACCTTTCCTGTCTCGCCTACTTCTTTTCTACACTTTATTATATCTCTTTTTCCTATTTTCAACGTGATGCAGGACTTCCTGCGTCATCTCTTCCACTTTCTTCCTATAATCGTTCTTCTCATCTCAACTTCCTGCACATTACCCGTTCTCATCTTGTCCTACATTATTCATCCATAACTATACCTATATACACCCTCTTTAATACTCGAGATGAGAATGTAAAAGCTTTTACAGAGTGACTCTAGTATGAATACTATGTGACTCATAAACATCTTTACAATATAAAGCGAAAATTCTTATTTACATCTTCACAACAGCATGTTACATGAAATCTTGTAAATCAGTCAGAAGTTTTGTAGAAGTTATATTAAATAAATTTCTTGAAGATGGATAAATTATTTTATACCATGCTGAAATTGAAATAAGAATATATTAAGAAGTGTTAAAGAATAAAAAGTTGTTACTGAAATATATTAAATAATCAGAGATCCATTGGGACTTGATATTAAGAAGCTTTTGTTATTAATAAACATAAGACTTAGGTATGAATGAAGCTGATGGTAAAATATGTATTGTCTGATTGTGTAGGAAGATACAAGCTTTGAGCTTATGATTTAATGTGTAAGGTTCAGGAGTTTATGGTTGAAAGGTTTATTTTTTATTCGTTTTAACGAATCGTTAAGTATAAAATATAGAGTGTATTTTATGTAGGTGGGAAAGACTAATAGAATGTGAAGGTACAATGTTTACTTACTCTTTAGAAATGTCATATGCTGAATTGTCGACATGGCCCAAGTGATGTTTTCGCAACCGTAAATTTGCTCGTAGGTCGTATGAGTCATTTTTATGGCGCCACTCACTCAATTCAGCTGATAATAAAAGTGCTACTTCTGTAAAATAATATGTTATTTACGGAAAACGTGTAAAGCATCAGGTATAATAATGCACGTAAAATATAAATTTATCACATCTTTTTTTTTTATCTACCAACACTATAAATTTGATAATTTTTTTTATTTGTTTATAAAAATAAAAAATAAGTATAGACATTTCTTAAATCAACTTGTAATTGATTTGTTTTCTTATAGATAGATTTTTCTGCACTTTGGAGATAGCTTCGAAATATCTGAAATTTATTTTGAAGCCCAGTGAACTGGGGCATTGAATTGGAAATAATACATTATTTGTTTGAAGTATGTAATGAAATTGTAAATTTTAAAATGAGGTTGAATGTGGTAATGATGACTAAAAAGGAATGGTAATATCATATACAAATTTAATTAGTTATATACTGATTGTTCTAAGTCGTTAGTACTTAGTTGAATTGGTAGTCAGAAAATTATCCTTGGTTTCTCGATCAAAGACTAAAGTGTAAGCCATCGGCATGGAATCCCAATTAGCAAAGCTTTGCTGACAAGCGTGTTGACCAGATCTATCCCAAGCAAATTACGTAGAGAACAGCAATTAGTTCTCTGTTTGGGTAAGATTCAGGATCTAAATGATTTCAGTTACTCTATGAATTCTATCAACCATAAATCCTATTAATTCATAAAATTAAATCATCAAATTATCCATCATCTTTTGAAACTTAGTGAACGATTGATCATACAAAGCTACTTCCAATGTCCAGTTAATAAATAACGCTAGAGTAAAAAATATCATTGACTAACCTTTTAATGCAGTTTTAGGATTACGTTTGTGACATTTTGTCCCTTGACATCCTCTATGTTGGATTAACCGAGGACAGTGTTTTCCTCCATTTTCTGCAGCACTTTCTATTACTCGAGATCTTTTCTGCACACCTGGACCACAATCGCTGTTGCAAGCTGACCAAGGTCCCCATTTTGATACAACACAATCACGAACTGCAAAATAAAATTATAAAATGTTATTTATTTATTTTCAATAACTAGATATTTTCTATTTCATAAAAATAAAACAAATATTTCCCTTAATTAAAAATTTATGATAAAATTCTTTTACAGAAAAAAAAAATTCATTTTATGAAACTGCCAACTTCTTTTTTTTCAATTAATTTTGAATTAAAAACTTTTTCTTTGAACAAAGTTTATTATTTGCGTAGTATATTTATAATTATTATTCAGATATACATCATATTCATTCTCTATGAGTGTTAATCATTTTGATTAATCAAAAAAAAATCTAATAACCAAGGAAACCTTATTTCTTTGAGATTGTATATTTATTTATCTTACCAAGTAATTTAAAAGTTTGTTCATCACATTTTTTGCATTATCATGGGAATAGAATTTTCAACGCGCAATCCAACATCAGAATGAATTATTGTAGGAATGTAAAAAGATAGTAAAGAGTAAAAGTAAAAAATAACCTAATGGAAGTAAAAATAGTCAAGTTTTATAAAAATAAAACAAATTACGTTAAATCTACCACTATCAAAGCATTTAAAATTATGTTGTTTGTGAATACGAGAATAATGAAATACAAAAAAAGATTAAAATAAATGAAAATATTTTTTAAAAACATCTTTTTAACATAGACTTGAGCTTTTTGAAATTAATTTTTCTTTTTCAAGTTTTGGAAGAATTAAAATATTATATTAATTTAAATTTGAAAGAATTATTCTTTTTTTTTTTTATAGAAATGTATACATAACATACATGTTCTCTTTCATTTTGTTTCACGCCACTGAATTGTTTCTTTGCTGTTAGTAAATATTGACAGTCACATTTTTTCGTAGGCATGAAAACATTCCGGGATTGAATTGTCAAATTAAATTTACTCAAGAGTCTGAGCAACATGCCCCAAAAATCAAATCCAGATAAACGTCATAGTAAATTAAATGTACGTCGAAAAGGCAAAATATTTAAAGGTAACATTTTTTAATTAATTTTTAAAAATAAAATATTAATTATTCAATCATTAAGAAACTTTGAAGCATTTATTAAGGTAACTTTTTCGTAATTTAAAAGTTATTTTAACTTTATCCGCTTGATCAAGTTGCTAAAAAATCGAAAAGAAAAAGTCAATGTATACAATAAATAAAGAATCTTTATATTTTGTTTTTCCTCGTGACATTTTTCATTTGCTTTTTGTATCAATTTTTCTTTCTTTTTAGGTGGACGCTATGTACTTTCCCATGATGCTCAAGTTGCATTGTCAAACCTACTCAGTGATGTCATTGAGGAGACTCTAGATGATGCAAAAAAGATGGCCGAAGATGCAGGGAAAAATCAAGTGTCTATTGAAGATATTGAAAGAGCTTTGAAAAAATTATGCTATAATATACGCTCTGTTTCAGCTCATAATCCTAGAGTCACATTGAATTCTAGTAACATTGTCTTTTAAATCAATCCCTTCATCAACTACATCCAAATGAACACCACTAAAACCAATTTCGATCAAGATTTTACAATTTAATCCAACAATAAATTATATACCAAATACTGATAACAATAAATTCAATGTATTATTTTATTTTTGAATAGAACTTTTATTTTAATTTTTTACTTAGTGACTAGGATAAATCGTTTGACTTCTTGAGCAGAAAATATATTCGATAAGATAAAGATTCAGAAATAATGCGGCATGATGTCAATGCGATAACTGTGCAGAGTTTCTCAATTCCATTCTTTTTGCAGGTAGCACCGACAATGGGATAATATATTTTTCTAAGAAGAAAATGCACTGTGGTAAGTAAGAACTTTTCCCTCCTTTCTCCACTTTCCACTCGTTATTCTTACTATCTTCTTTACTTACAAATGTCCTTATCGTTGGATGAGAGTCAAAGAAAAAGAATAGTAAACTATGAATCCTCTTTGTGACAAGGATTGTGAATAATTTCATCTTTTAAATTGTTAAACGTTTGTTATAATAACACTAATTCATTCTTTTCCCTTTTTGTTATATTCCAAACTGACTCTATTTTCATTATTCAATCGTCTTTTAATTCACACAGTTTAATAAATAATTTAAAACTTTTAATTATCGGTTAATATTGAATAAGTTAACAGGGGAATACTGTTTTTTTCTCTATTCAAAACTTTTTTAATTAAATTAAACAAAAAAAATATGACGAAATAACGATGCATATATTGTTTTAAGTTTATTAATTTTAAGATTTATAGATAAATATTTAGTTTCATTTATTATTTATGTGGTTTTTTTATTACGATTAGATTATCCTATCTTTATATATAAATAGCTAAAATTAGTCCTCTAGGAATCAACGGTAATTTAGTGATATATTTAACTTCATAGTGCGCTATAAAATTTACACGTTTATTCTACTGAGAATTACGAAAATAATATATCCTAGTTACTGTCAGGTTTATTGCACTTGAAAAAAATATCTCATTTATGTAAAAATAAAGAAGTAATAATTTTTAAAGTATCTGCAAAAAGACATAAAACAGAAATTGACTTTATGTATTTTTATTTTTAAGTCTCCAACTGTTAATGTATCAAACTATCCAAAACTTTGCTTCATGTTACGAGCTAGCTAGCTAGCTAGCTAAATTATGATTCATCAACTTGATTAATCTTCAAGAAAATTTGAGAAACCTAGATCCTCAGAGTCTTTAGTATTTTTTAGAATTCTTTTTTGGATAACTCAGACAATGTATTTATCTTTTTTTTTACTCTGCTGATTGTATTTTGATGGCAACAAAACAAATTGTCTGAAATTTACGTCAATAATTTGAAATTAATTATCTCATAAATTAATCTCAACAATATACCTATTGATTATATTGAGATTATGTGGAACAGAATATTGCTTACATAAAATGTAAATCTAATAGGATTTTTATGTGAAGAAAGAAAATCGAAACTGTGGAGAGGAAATAATATTATGATTATTATTGAAAGGTAAAAAGAATATTTTTTTTATCTCAAAACGTATTTATACCTTTGAAATACATTTCACATGCTCTGAGGAATCCAATCACTTCGATACTCTTTGATTTTTTTTAGAATAAGTTGCAAGCCCTTTCAGAGTCGTAGGTATGTAAAATATAGGATATCAAATGTTTTATCAAATCATACATAAAAAAATACTGTGAAAGATATTCTTGATTTTGTAATAAAATCGTTAAAAAAAAAAAATATTAATAAATCCTAAAAACTTATCAATATATATAAATAAAATTCAAAAAAGTTTTAATCATTCGTTTAACTGAGGCATAAAAAATATTGCAAGTCTAATTGCAATTTGTTTTTAAAAAAATGTTTATTTTAATCAAACCTTTGTTAAAATTTTTCTATCATAGCAAAAAAAAAGAGAGAAAAAAAAAACAAGTACATGATTGGATTGGGCATTGGTTACTGGGTCGAATTGAAATATTATGTCCCAAAGGAGATTAGTATATACGAAAGTTAAGACGTTCTATTTTGGAAATAAATTCTCAAGCTTCCTCTCGCTCTCAATCTTCACAACAGTAGTTTTCTCTTAAAGAAGAGGATGGTTTATTGAGGGGTGGTAAATGACATCGGTAAAGTAAGAGTCACGATAGCAAAGTGCCGGAGCAACCAAGTGGATAGGCTATAGGATTACTATGGCGGATTCTCAAATATGCTAACAGTGGCATTAACCCGAAGCTTGGATGAGATTACCAAGTATAATACTTGTGCACACTCCTCCTCTTTCGTATTGCAGAAAAACTCCTTATTTCGGTCGTATGAATACATGTTTTAAATCGAAACAAATCTTACTACAATTATTTCAAGTACCTCATAACAATTTGAAACCTGTAAACTCTTTTAAATGCTTTCAAATGCACCAAGCAATTTTAATTGTACTTAATTACATTTACCCAACTAGAAAAAAAGCAAAAAAGAAGGCATCTTTTGGATCCAGATGAAAAGATGTCCAATTCCTATTTGATATTCTTAAAGTTGTTTTATAAATATCAAAAAAGATGTCTATTTCTGTGTAAAACGTTTAGTCCAATGAATTAAGCCGAGAATCGACCATTTTGGAAAGGATAGCTAAAATCCCCGTGAAAATTTTCGTAAACACCATAGAAATTATTGGCTAGAAAATCAGGTCTCTCAGTTGACAGGAAATATTACAAAAGAGTGCGAAAATGAGTTTTCCCTCAATAACTCGAAAACAACGGGTACAATCGAAAAAAATTTCGAGTAAAAGTTGTTGAAAATTTAATTCTCTACAAAAAAGGTCCTTTTACAATTTCTCTTATCTTCAATAGTTTCTTTGCAAAATATGTTCAAAGTGTACATATAACACTGAATTGTTTAGAAAAATTTTTTTTTCTAAAATAAATGGTTCACAATGACGGTGTAGAACATACACAACATTTCAAGAGGTGTTTAAGTCCATTTTAATTGACTAAAACATACACAAATATTTATTCAAAAGATGTCTAAAAAGAAGCAAAAACATTCTCTAGACATTTTTCTAAACATCTCATGGATATTTGTTCTGACATATTTTAAACATTATTTTATTCATCTACAAATTAATCTTTATCAATATCTTTTTGATAAACTTTCAAAAAACTAATTGTTAACTCCCAAAAAATACCATATAAGTATAAACTCATTTTTTTCTAATTGGGACATAATCAGAAAGAAGTGTTATTTTTAAATGCAATACAAATCATTTCAGCAAAGATTCTCTATAAATTAACCTTCTTTTGATGTCAATAGCAAGAATTTAATAAATTAAAATGTAATATAAGTAATGTTAGTTAAGAATAAAGGATATACCCAATTTACTATTTCCAATTGCTTTATTGAGTGGATACAATATTCATATTCAAGTTCTTTGTTTAAAGTCTCACGGAGTGAATTCTAAATAAGTTTCATACTATGATCAAGCTCCTTCGTCTTTTCATCTTGATTATATCTATATATATTTTGATAGGAAACTTGCACAAGAGTACCGGGTAAAACTTTTTACTGGTGTATAATTTATAATAAATTCGGTAGGAAAACTTGCTAACTTGGGATAATGACTAAGATCATCGATTTATCGTTAATAGAAATTTTTATCTGTTAAATCAATGGCTCTAGAGTTAATAGAGAATTAGTTATTAATCATGAAGAAGTTGATCAAGTGAGTAAATGCTTGAAAATTAATTTATTTTAATATTTTCAATTAATAGTAAAATTGAATTGGTCATCAAAACTACTACTTTTCCATCAACTTTCTGATAAAGTTCAATAAAAGTTCAATTAAATATCATAAAATTGGAATAATTTATAATATTCACTAGAAATCTCATCAACTTGTGCTCAAATGATCATATTGATTATTTGTAAAATTATCCATTGACTTTTCTCTTTTGTTTGCTTCATAAGTTTAGAAGACTCTTGAAACTACTGTCATAAGCTACAGATTCAATTCAATCAAAATTCAATAAGTGAGTTTTGAAGTTATATTAATCATACTTAGTTACTTTTCAATTGATTTTTTTTTTTAATTCCGTTGAAAATTTTTATTCCAAGTGATAACAATTCAAGTTATTTGATGAATTTTTTTTATTTTTTTAATTAAATAAAGAGATAAGCTAGCTATAAAGCCAATACCTTCAAGAATTTTTATCACATAAAATTATAGCTCCATTCACTTGTGTCGATGAGAATCTTATACTTTTTCTTCTAGACTTATTCAACGTTACAAAAAATTTCTTACTTTATGACTTTTTTCATTACTTTTATCTTGTTCAATTTTCATTCACTACCTTCTTGATCATTAAATATTTTAGGTGATAAATTTTTGATTTCGTTCAAGTTGGAAACATTTTAAACCTCAATATATTAACAAATGTGTCTACTTATAAATTAGATTCTATCTATATTTGATCATCTATTATTGGTACATTTAAAATTATAATATAAATGACATGGTTGAAATGGATCTATATGTTAACATGTCAATCAATTTATAAACATATAACCGGAAGTTGATAATTTTATTAAAAAGATATTTATTATAATTTAGATGATTGCTTCTATAGAAACTATTTAATTCAATCCAACAATACACATATGACCTAGATATCATAATCATCATCATGATTATATCAAAGTTTCTTTGAAAATATTTGAATACCTAAATTGATTATTTTAAAAATGAATAGAATTATTAAAAGGTTTAATAGTTTTGCCAGTTGTTAGTGGTAATTTATTGATTTGTTTTGTAGTACTTGAATGGTATAAAATCTAATCACGTCGAGGACCGCCTAGCAGAATGGCCAAGTTTATTAATAGACTTGGTGGTCTGAGAAAAGTTACAACTGTAAGAAGAAAGCTGCAGGCGATACAGTGTGAGGGTGGAATAAAAAAAAAAAAGAAGAAGCTGATGAAAAAAAAATTGAAAAGTAGATAAGACGCAGTCGAGTATTTTGGGAGAACTGAACTCTCCTCCCTGTTGTTCACAATTAGCATAACCGGCCTTACGGGTCCTTTTCAGATTGCCTTGAGTCCTGTTTATACGGGTAGGACAATGTTAAGCAGTTTTTCTCGTTAACGAGTGTCAGACGTAAACTAAGAAGCAGACGAAATCGAATATCTTTACCCTTCTTTTAATTATGCATTTTTTTTTCAATTATTTTTTTTTTTTTTACTTGAGAAAATCCGGATTCATTGAAATCCCAAGAATAATTGAATATTGAAGCTATGGAGATGCTAGATTAATTTTTACACATTGATGTAAATAAATTGATAATAAAACAAATTAGTATTCTAGTGTTAGGGAAATTATTTATATGATGATTAATTTTAAATTTATTATATTGTAGTTAGAAATAGAATAAAGAATGAGGTAAAAGTAGTAATAAAATGTCTGTGATATCTATGCTAATATTCAAAATCTACAAGTTCTAGAATTCTCGGAATTTCTTGAATTCTAACAACTGAAATTCTTCACATATGTGTCACCTACTCTTTACTCGTGAGCATAAAACTAATGTAGACAGTGACAGTGTGAAGGTAGTGAACGATAGAACTGGACAGTGGGTGTGAGGAAAAAGCCACAAAAAAAGAAATGAAAAATTTGCATTCCAGAGGACTGTGGATTGCCTTGTCGTTGAGTTATACATATAGTTAAACCCTCGAGTGAGTTATTTATTAATGCTTATGCAAATAAGACATTCACGATGTATGTTTTTTATTTGAAAATAAAAATTATCTAAAGTGTTTAAGTGAATTTTTAAATCAAAATCTTTGACAATCTGTTTGTAAAGAAATAAAAATACATTATATTATAGTTTTATTTTTTTTTCTCTTTTCAAATGACTAAACTTTTTCCTGACAATTTCCAGTAAATGTACTCCATTTAGTTCGTAACTAGTCTATCATCTATAGTTTTACTTGTTTTTCTTTATTTCTTTTCTAAAACAACAAAAAAAAAAAATAATAAAATGATGAAGCCGTTTTAACGTACATTTTACCAACCAATAAAAAGAATTCTTTTTTTTTTTAAACTTTTTTTCTTTCTCATTTCATTCTTTCATTCCTTACTAAACGGATGCAGACTGCTATAGACGTCTGAGTAAAAAAAACCATTGTTTGCACGTGCTTTTGATCTGCCCTGTATTCCTTTACTTTGTTGAATCAAGTTCACTTGCTTCAAGAAAGCATGACTTTTATGTTTCAATGTTAATACATATGAGATACATCTCGCATATGCAAATTCACATATCCAACATTTTTCAGCTCTTTATATTCTATTTCTTATTTTACAAAAGTATCAAAAAAAAAAAAATTGTATATAATTATAAATTATTTAAATTTTTTTACAACTAACTTTCATAAAATTATTTCCAGTATTTTGCTTCAGAAAATTCCAATGTTCCCTTGAATATTTGTACTAAATTTAGCTTATGTATCTTGTTAAAATATTCGTAACACGTTAGCTTTATTAATGTTTCAAAAATATTTTATAGTCTTAAATTTATTCACTCTTAAAGTGGTTGGATACTGAAACTATTATCAAAATTTTATCAAAGAGACTCTTCAATAATTAATAAAATCGAAATACCTTGTGAAACGTCAAGGACTAATGACACTATTTGATGCATAATTAACAGAATTTTGCATAAATAATATTTTTATAATTATTTAATAGCTATTTTTAAACAATAAAATTCTTAAATGTTCAAAAATCTGATCATGATTGGCATATACATTCACAATAATATAAAATATAAAACATACTTGGATGAACTTCAAAGTGGATCGTTTAATATTTCATTGTTAATTATACCAGTGGGTGAGTATGAATAACGTATGGATTGCTAGAGATATATGTGGGTAACCCGTGATGAATAAACGATGAGCTATTATAATGCTAATGCTAAAGTTCGGGTTAACGACCGTATAGATGTTTCATTATTTCTAATCGATGAAGTAGTGTCGAATCATTAATAATCATCAAAGATTAAGGCTATTAGACTCTAGTGGTGTACTTGTTTTGCAAGAGATCAAGTGCTTATATAATTAAAAGATGCTAACATCAATTTATTACAGTTAATGATCCTAAATAACCCTTCATCATCATTAATCTATACTCTGAAGTATCGACTGATCATTTTTTAATACCAAAATTTACATTCATAAATAGCATTATTAAACCAGAGTTATTAATCTTCAATGAATTGTTTGTGAAAATAATTTTCATTGATATTAATTCAACAAAACTAACATTTATCTATAATTAAATTATACTTTGAAGAAGAAAAACATAGTAATGTAATTCATTGGCTAAAAATAACATACTGATTAAATGTTAATCTTCACTTAAAATGTGAAAATTATAAAATGATTAAAACGATTAAAACTCACCATCGCAGGCTTCCTTAAATCCACTACAACAATCGCCAATTTTTAGACACGTGTGATGACAGTAGCAAGGTTTGTCAGTCGAGTTTTGATAAATAGCTTTAAGAGAAGTTCCTTCCATTGGACAATTTCCATTTATACCAGGACAACATAGATTTGATCCATGGCATTTTGATGCTAACGCGATGTTAAATAAGCAACAAATCACGTAAACAGAAAAAAAGTTGAGCAATTTGCTCTGCCGATCCATTCTTTACCATCAATTTATGTGATGAAGATTTAACTCAATTACGAATAAGTAGATTATTGAAGAAAGTGGATGTTTTTTCGATTGATTGACTCGTAGAACTCGATTGCTTCAAGTACGACTGATCACCAGGTTTAATTTAGTCTTTTTCTACTCAGAGTCTATCGACAGACTCTTGCGGTTCGAAAGCCTACTTGATGCAACTGTGACTTCCCGGTGGACAGTAGACTGTTAAGAGCCTACGCGTTTTGATAGGATTCGCCCCACTACTTTCTCTTATTGCATCGAATGCATGATTTAACGAGAAAAAGATGTTTGTATCGAATTCAGCTGTAGCTATACAAAGTAAAATACGAAGATAATAAATGAAATAAATTCTTTGGAAGTAATAGTTAATGACAAATGAAAAAAAAATTAACAAAAAAAACCCTTACTCAATAAATATAATATTAATCATATTTATTGAGAAATAAACTTATGGAAAAAATTAGTTTAACATATTTTTAAATGCCCTACATTCATAAATGTGTACTTTTAAATTAGAATTTTCTTTGTCTAAAAAAAGCTAGATAATCTTTAAGTAGTTCATTACTACAAGAAGCTCATAAAAAAAATAATAAAATAGTTGGTATTTTTAAAAATCATTGCAGTGATTAATATTCAATAATATCAGTTAATATTTTGATGATCAATCTTTTGTTTCAACTTAGAGTTAAATCGTTCTAATCAAGTTCGTGTTCACGACACGTGTCTGAATAGATTCACGATAATTTCACACCATTTTCAAATACTGCTGACTAATGAATTCACTAAGAGTACTGAGACATTAGTAGATACTTTACTCAGATAATCTCCTTTTCTTAATATGTATCGTCAGCAGCAATGATGTTCTATAGAATTAAGACGCATCATGTTCACCAATGGAAAAGCGAGGGATGTGAGAAAATAATTAAATATCGAGTAGAGGTGGTACACCCAAGTAGAATCTACACTTGGGAACTTAATTTCTTGGACAAGCTCTGACACATTCTATTGTAGCGAACACAGCAGTGACAGATTAAATTATTCACTTACAATTTTACTCAATTAGCTCTCAAACGTTCTAATTAACAGATGAATAATTACGTTTACTTGTCTTAATAGAGAAGTGAAATTCCTAAAATAGGACACTTTGGCTTATTAATATAAATCTTAACGTACTTACTTACGATTGATTGATATCAGCTCAGATTCTATAAATAATATTTATATCTCAGGAAAGAAATTAAAAGATCCATCTGTAGATATTGTATGTACCTATAAAAATAGTTATGGATCTTTAGAATGTTGATGAGCTAATAAAAAATCAAATAGTAACATCATTACCTCGAAACTGAGAGAATTGTAAAGTTTAAAATATTCAATCATTTTTTTTAATTATAAAATGTTTGGGAATGCTTTACATGTAAATTAAAAAATTTATTGCAATAAATTGATTTAAACCTATTATTACTCTATTCTGACACGTATATTTAATGTTTATATTGTTAATAATAATTTTTTATATCATGATTACTGCGTTGTTTACATCTTCCTCACATGTTTACACGAATTCTGTAATCTTGATATCTACTGCGCAGACTTCATTGCGCACAGCACTACTGCCACCTTTTACACGTGTAAGGAGCATTATGAACTAAATATTAACCTGTCTCTCGGATGGTGTATAGTGTCAAAAAGTTTACTTGCATTGTTATTTAATAAATAAAGTATTAATAAATTAACCATGAATTCGAAAGAAAATATAGTTCCAACTTCTAAAACAACAACGGCTAATACAAAACCTTATGGAAAAATTGTATTAACGCTACAAAACTGTCTTTTACCTGAAGAGAAGCTCAACTCTACACCATCTCATTTGGATGGATTAGATGCCGAAACAGAAACTGATTTAAGAATTTTAGGATGTGAACTCATACAAACGGCAGGAATTTTATTAAAATTACCCCAGGTAAATATCAATTTTAACTAATTAATCATTTATTATTTGAGTTTTGTTGACATCATTAAACTTAACCTGTTGTTGTGTATAATGTTTGTTATAACTTTAAATTTCTGACATGATTGTTACAAGTATCTATTTATTCATTTAATTGATCATTGTTACAGGTTGCAATGGCTACTGGCCAGATAATATTCCAAAGATTTTACTACAGCAAGTCATTAGTAAGGCATAATATGGAAACTACTGCAATGGGTTGTATTTATTTAGCAAGTAAAATTGAGGAAGCTCCAAGGAGAATTAGGGATGTAATTAATGTTTTCAATCACGTAAAACAAGTATCTAGCCAAAAGTAAGTCTTCAAATTGATGTTGAAAACTTTTAATTCAGTACATTTTGTTTTGGAGTATTGTCATGGATAAACATTTTGTTCTTTTTTCAGAACGATTCAACCGGTCATTCTGGATCAGAACTACGTGGCCCTCAAAAACCAAGTAATAAAATCAGAAAGAAGAGTCTTAAAAGAATTAGGCTTCTGTGTACATGTTAAGCATCCTCACAAAATTATTGTGATGTATTTACAAGTTTTAGGTTATGAAAAAAATCGTGCACTAATGCAGCAATGTTGGAATTATATGAATGATTCTTTACGATCAGATGTTTTTCTACGACATCATCCAGAGACTGTTGCTTGTGCTTGTGTTTATTTAGGAGCTCGTCAGTTACAATTGCCATTGCCGAACTCACCGCCATGGTTTTCGCTATTTAAAGTTCAGGAGTCGTCAATTAGGGATGTTTGTCGACGTATATTAAGACTCTACACACGACCTCGTGTTCGTGTAGAAGAATTAGAAAAGAAAGTTGAAGAGTTAAGACGTCAATATGAGGAGGCAAGGACAAAAGCTCGAGGGGGGGATGTAGAAGGCCATACTCCAAGCCCTCCGCTTCCAAAGCATCATAATGCTTGGGGTGGTTTCATCAGTCGTAGTGGAACTCATGCTGTTCCTGAAAGAACAAAATCACCTAGGTATTTATCAATTATTTACTAATGAAAAAAAAAAAAAATTGTTAAATTAAATAATAAAACAATTTAGCAGATAATTAAGTTTTATTTGTGCGAATAATATAATAACAATTCTATTTACAGAAGATCAAAATCGTCAACTAATACATCTTCGTCTGCTCAACGAAGTGAATCAACGAAACATACAAAACGAAAAAAGCACTCAAGTAGAAGCAGATCACGAAGTCACAGTCGTGGAAGAACACGTAAGACCAAAAAAACACAACGCCGTCGATCAGGAAGCCACAAATCTCGTAGCAGATATCGATCACGTAGTTAATTACAATCAGCATTAGTTTTTATTCTTTAATTTTAGTTGATAATAGAATAAATTATTAAATAAAATACTACAAAAATAAAAGAGTCAATTTCCATACAATATCAAATATCATTTGAGTCTACATTATCATTTCATTAACTGAATTTCAGTTTTATTAATAATCATATAAAATTCTTACTAATTTCAAAGTAAGTTATTCATTTTAGCATCACGAAAAGGCACATAGATTTCATTAATGAATTCTCATTAAAAATCATTACTATTATTGTAATAATTGTGGTAGAATAATTGTAAATTTTATAAATACATCTAGCAATAATAAAAATATCATAATTTTCTGAATAAATTTTTGTTACTAATATCATCAATTATTATTCGATTAACTCTTCTCAAAAATAGCCAATGATTGTTGAAAAATAATTGCATAAAATACTTATGTACATATAAACAAACTATATTCAGCTATTAATTCAACTACCTCCATTATTGTACGATGGCCTACCCGCTAGTTCTAATAAGTAACGATCTGGATGATCTAACCAGTCAGCTGTACTTAATTTCACAACTCGTTGTTTTTCTGCTTCTTTAACTTGCCATTTCTTTATTTCTAACTGTTGCTCACTGTAATTGAATTAAATTAAATTTATTAAATATGTTACTCTAATCTATTTTAAGTATATGAATAATTTAACTTTAACTCACCGTGATTTTACATCACCACAGCCCCAAACAACAATGCTCACTAGCTTATGAGGAGCACCTCCAAAACTCACAGAGTTAAACGCTTGATCAATATTTATAAAAGGATTTCGCGTATCTTTCCCTGCACGAAGACCCTGAGGATATCCTCTAATACTTGTATTTAAGTACAAAAGTTTCGGTCCTTTCTCAACAAGTCTGTATAATGGCTTTAGTTCAATAATAACTGAGTCTTCATTACCCCAATAAAGGTGGGATTCACGCCATTCTATAGCACTGCATATACAATAAGTGGCGAATTCATTATTCCCACTATCTCCTTGAATAAATACTATTGTTGGACCTCGATATCCAAGTATGTGATGAAGAAAACGATTGGCTCCAGTCCCATGTTCATCACTATTGTATAATAAAGTCCAATGACTAGGACAAGGAGTTCTAGACATTTTTAATGCACTTGAAGATTCGTCTGCCTGCAAATCTTCTGCCTATAAATATTAAAAATAAATAAAGCTATACTTAATATGAAAAAATTTCCGTGCAACTTTACATTAATTTTAAAATTGTACCTGAATATAACAAAATGGTAAAGTAATAGACAATAACCATACATGACTTAAAGGTAACAAAGTCTCAGGTTTTTCGAAAGAAATTGCCTTTTCTAGAACTGGGGTAACTGGTTCTATATGGGGCTGTAATTCTTCAGTTGATAAAAGAGCTTGGCCATTTCTGTATGCAGTCGAAAATACATGAATTATGTATCGATGCACCCCGTAGACTATTCTTGGACAATTCGACCATAACCAATTACTTATGAAATTTGTTGAAAGACATTCTTTTCCGTGAAACTAAAACATGATAATAATAATTTTATGGACATGAAGAAATTTTATTCATATTAAATGTCATTATTAAAAATAAAAAAATTATTTGCCTTCAACTTACACAAGATGAAACAACAGCTTCAATAGTGTCATGAACAAATATACATGAATTAGGCCCACAATCAGTAGCTAATTGATACGAAGTCATTAACAACTCTTTAAAAGCACCAGAAGTAATATCACCATCCTCTTTAGAAGTAGTAGAGAACATTTTTACATACACATCTAAAATAGTTTGATCATTCATAATAGATAAAAGCTTCTCAATTTGTTGTTTAAATGCCGAAGTTCCTAAATGTTTTGATGATGCTTTAGACGCAGCATGAAGATATTTAAACAGTCGTGACCCCAAATTGGAGTAATGTGGAAATAGATATTTAACAAACACTTTTTCTGAAATCCCGTGAGAGTCGTCTTCATGTTGTGTCCTTTCTGCCAAAATCTGTAAATAGAATAAATATAGCACAAGCCAAATCACGAGTAAAAATAAAGTATTATTATTGTTTCGTACTTTGGTTAGTTTGTCAATAGGTTTGAAATGTGTGACAAAATTTTGTTCAATTTCACTAGCCGAAGCATTTCGACTTAATGGTGTAGTAGGTTGATTGTTTGCTGGCGAAAGCATATGCTTTTTTGCCAATCCATTGTTATGCCGAGTGACATGATTTCCCATTATGAAAAATAAGACTATTAATTCATATGGATTGCTTGATTAATGCAGTCCAATGCAATGTATTATGTATATATACTCTGTTTCTAAACTATTATTCACGAGTCACGTATACAAAGAGCAGTAACAACAGCGATGCATCAAGCGGCATCTGGAAAATGATAAGTGGATGCGTGCATTATGGGCATACAATTTTCAAAATAGGGACTTTTGACACAACAGAAAAGGTATACAATTTTGTGGTGATCCATGGGAAATATGACAAGCGTCGCCGCCTTTTTTTGGTGTACTGGTTTCAACTATGAAACGTTTAGCTCTGTTGGTAACTTAACGATCAATAATATAAACAAATGTAAATTTTTTTATAAAAATTACAAAAATTTATTCAATTTTGCAATTTAGCAGATATTGTTCATTAATAATACAAAAAAAAAAATAAATAAATAAAAAGAGACAATAAATTTATTGTTAAGTGTAAAATGATTAAGATATATTAAAAGTTTAGTATAATTTGTGATAAACAAAAATTATTTTTAGGTATAAAATTTTACACAAATTTATGATTCGTTGGAACAATATTTATATGAAAATTTTCACTTATTCATTCTCGGCTAAGAACTTGTTCAATATGATGTTTAAGAGTCTCCAGTTGACTCTTTGTATCTTCATCTAAATCCGGTATGTGAGAAAGTCTGAGGCCGTCTTTTGGCAGTAATGCCATAACATTTCCATTATTGAGAGGTACATTAACATTAGCCATACGTTCAGTACTAAAAGCAGAGACAAACAGAGGACTTCCTTGCATACTTAAGGCAACTTCACCAGTTCTAGGATGTCGTAAGAAATTTAGGGGAGTGTTTGGTTTGATTTTTGGAGTAACAAAATTTACTCCTTGAGATGGTTTTGAATTCGATGGTGCTGGTGTATTGAATACATTCTTATTTTTTAATTTCCGAGCAGTAGATTGTGACCGATCTCTTTCTTTCGGTTGAACCATTGAAAGGACTGGACTAGCTGATTGCATTCTGGTAATTCTTCTAGATTTCTTTGTAGACACTCTGTCTTTAGTATCAATTCTCGACACATGTTTTGATGATTTCTTTTGAGAAGCTGGAGCAGTTCCTTCTGTCATATAGCCGTCATCCGTAGATGCAGCAGTTTGACGTTTTAATTTTTTTGGTTGACGTGTTGGAAGGTGATTTGGAGAAGAATTTTCGTTTGCACGAGACATAGTTTCACTATTTATATTTGCATCTTCATTAAACAAATGTGCATTGAGCAATTCACCACGAGTCATTTCCCTTATCTCTTTAGGCAGTTGGCCTAATGCAGTATCTATGCGAGATATTATACGATTTACAGCCATGTTACATTCATCCTCTTCTTCTTTTAGTAAAATTGTTAACTGTTTTTCAATATCTTCTAATCTTAAAAGCACATCTTCTTGGGAAGAAGTTAAAGATGAGCCCCGTTTTCTTGGTTGTTTTGTACGTGGCATTTTGTTATTTTATATTATTGTCTTCTTTTCAATACTTAAGGCACTTTATACTTTTTTTAACAAATTCAAAAAAATAAGAAAAAAACAATCCATAAATACTAAATCACATATTACTTTTAATAATTAATCTTGCAAATAAAAACTCAACTTGCAGGTTAGGCTTATTTTTCTTGGCAATTATAACAAATTTATTTTTTTCCCCAGTTTTCTCCAATGTCTAAATTAACAAAAAACATAATTTTTTAAAAAAAAAACAATATAACTTTTAATAAACAATCTTTAAATAACCCATATCTTACCACTGCTAGTCGCTTCGCTTTGACTTTTCGTAACGTATTTATTTGATTTGATGTATTTAACCATACTCCCGGTCTTTTAATAATGCTAGATTATTATTGGTGTAAAATAAACCAATAAAATCGTACTTTTGAAAAGAAAAAATGACGACAGCGTCTCTATAGGCAGAAAATTTTTTTTCTGTTTTATCGATGATGCAACTTTAAAGTTCGAAAAAGATGCAAAGAGGTCAGCACTACTCTGAGTTAAATTTTTACTATACACTCAGTCGTAATTATAATTACTACTTTAATTGTTTATGGAAAACATAAAATCTAATTATTTGTAATCCTAGAATTGATTTCGAATAATTATAAAATATCCTCAAACTGTGCAATTATTTTGGTTGAAAAAATATTCCATTTGCACGTATTAAAATGTTTATTCTCTCGACAACATGAAATATTCATGAAAAAGATAGATTAGATTGTAAATTTTTATTATCACATAAAAATGAAAACATTGAAATATTCCAAACAAGTAATTATAATTTTCTAAGATTTTAATTCGTAAATAAGATTGATATTTATAAATGAACGCAGTATAATAATTTTCTTTGATACTCGCGTCAAATACAGTAATAACTTACGAGTAAAAAAGAAAAAATAAATTAAAGATAATATATTTTCTTTTTTGTTCATATTTTTTTATTGTCATTCAAATAATTCATTCTAACTTTTTTCATTAATTTCTTTTTTTATAGCCTAAAAATCAATGAGCCCTCGAAAAGCTATAATTTATGACAGAAAATCCGATAATAAACACTTCGCAATGAAAGCAAAACAGACTAGGGGATCGAAGATAAAAAATATTTTTTTCTTCCATTCCATAACAAGTTAACTTACAATTTGTATTGGGGTGTGCAAATTCGTGTATGCGACTGAAGCTCATTGATCACCACAGTAATATGCTCTATTCACATGACTGGAATTTAAGCATTCCTCTTTTCACTCTCAATCCTGATCCTGATGGGGGATGTGAGCACATGTTATTGAAGTAGAAGTTGGAACCTCGACCCAATGATCTCTTTTGGGAAGATATTGTGCTGATGGCTGACAGTCAAGATAGTTCTGATGGGGAGTTTTATGTGCGTTGTCTGGGATTTGATAGCGCAGTCGCGATGATATCGATTTATTGCAACCTGGGCGACACCCTTTTGGTTGTCTCGCGGGTTTCACTGCTTCACCGGCAAACTAGTGAGTAGTACACACACACGACATAGGTAAGTTCACTTGCATGGATCATTTCTTGTACGTTTTTGTGATCAAACATTGGTTTTTAATTATTTAGGTGCATTTTTTTGACTAAAATTGATAGAAATTATCAAGTAAAATAATAGCAGTTTTACTTCTGAAAAATATTGAATTATTTCAATAATATCTATCTTGAGTCTACTAGTTAAACATTTGAAATTGTCATCTCAGCATTTTTAAACTCGCCGCAGAAGACGTTGGCCATCGCTGGACGTACCGATTGCGCAGGTTGATCCCTATAACCACGCAGACGTGACGCGCGTACCAGTTTCACGTGATCGTTCATTTATCGTTGCTTCGTCTTGTACGAAACAGACTCCCGGTGGTAATATCATTGAGACAACGGGCGGAAAATTGGTAAATTACGTTCTTTTTGGATCTAAGACAGTCTAGACTGTCTTATACACTGATTGTTAATAAAAAGGGCTCTGTTCAGTCTTGCTCGATTGATTTTATTCTTCTTTTGCTTCTTGACTGGTGTATATCACCAATTATTCAGGTAAGATGCTTTGATTTTTCCAAAAAATCTCTAAATTATTTTCAATCAAACTTGAATGAAAATTTGATTTTTTTACTTCACGTAGTTTTTTGAGTTTTTAATTGACATCTGACAATTTCATTGAAAATTCTCAAATATCAATAATGATTTTAAAAGTTATTCTTAATCGTTTTTAAAAATTCCAAATTTGTAAAAATAAAAACGAATATAAAATTTCTATTTTGAATGAATCATTTTTAAGATGCTTCCAATGTGAAATGAGGGTTGCAAGATATTGATTAAACGTGAAGAAATTATTATAATTCATAATTCTTTTTCCGCCCTAATTTTATTTGTACTTGGTAAAAGAATTTTCAATGAAATATATAACTTAGGAGTAATTGAGTTGAACAAATTTTAGAGAGTTAATTAATAAATATACTTGACTAATGGTTCCTTCAGTAGATCTCAGTAATTAAATAATTATATTAGTTGAGCCATTATATTTTATTGATATAAATCATTTGAAATGAAATGAATTCTAGTATGTTAGTGGTTTGAACTAGTTGAAAAGCATCATTTTTCTCTTACATTATATATGATGGTAATAAACGACAGATCGATAAGTTTTCAAATTCGTGTCAGTTATGTGATCACGTCGAACCCTAGAAGATAAATGTAGGTAATTTTTTTTCATGATGAAGTACATAAGAAGATATCGTCAATTCAAATATACATATATCATTAGTATTATAGTTTGAAATCCACTTTATCCTTTAAGGTGTGGAGTCTTCGATAGTGTTATACACCCACATTGATCATTCATCTAGTTATCTCTACCGCTATTTCAACTAACTTAATTCAATCGTATAATAACTTGAGTTTTCACTGCTATTACTAACACAATTTCTGAATCTCACGCAATAAGGTAGCTATTGAAAATTCAATCTCATTTTATATGTAGGTTTGCAGTTAAGATTGAAGTGTTATAGGGAGAATATTGGATCATCTATTAGACTATTGAGTTCTGAATATTTTTGTCGTGATTCCAAATGGTAATTATTAGCTTTAAGAATATTTTCTTGAAATGAAAACATCACGTTTGATACGACCTTTTAATTAATTTCTACTTTACTTCATCAACAACCATATAATTGCTTACTTCTTAGACCAATAATCTGTGCTATTCACTTCTTCATGGTGGGTTGTTATTAAAAATACGATCTCATCAGCTTTGATGTGAAATAAAAACACAAACAAGAGATATTTTATTCTGGGAGAATAACCACCCATTCGGCAATCAAACTTTTACATATTTTTTTAAACGTTCCATTTCCATGCAAGAGTTATTTTTCAAATAAATTGTTTCAACATTGGTGATTAGTTTTTATTTAGAAATGAAAATAACTGTAGTAGAGTTGCATAGGAAACCATTAGCTATTGATATAGGTCATATTGCTCAAGGGAAGTTTTAGATAGCATTGATAAAGTACACTACAATGAACTTAATAAAAGTAAATTAGTTAAATTTTATATGACTGTAATTCTACATATAAAATAATTTAATTTTGGAATGAACAAAGCTTGTATTAGTGAAATTGAATCTCTATAAATAGTATTGAATTAAATTTTCAATGACACTTGACGTTTGATCAAATATAAATATATCAATTAAATTAGCATTTATCTTACTGATAAAAGAAGAAGGTGAATATTAGCATGAAGTGATTATTATTAAACATTGAGTTTTATAATTAGAAATAGATCAAACGTAGTGTGTAAAAGGTTTTAGGTTTGGACTCTTCATCTTTATTTCTGTTGGAAAATTGAAGTTTAATAAAAAATATAGATAATATACATCTATATTTCAATCGTGTCATGACTTTTGACCTTTCATTCAGAAAAAGATCTTCGAGCTACACAGCAGTTTAATAGTTTTATCCAAATATAGATATGGCAAATTGCCATGGTTTACTCTTAAAATGAATGTTTTTCACTTTCTTGTTAATATCAACGCCCGAGGGGCTGTCCCCTTTTCCGTATAAATTTCACTCTGTGCTACTGTATGTACATAGATGAACCATCAGAATTAACATGGGTGATATTCATGAATTCAAAATTGTCTGCTATAGTTCATTATGTATTTCATCAGATGCATTTGATAACTATTTCTCTATTATACATCATTTCTTTACAAGTGCTAGAACGAAACATGTATGTTATCAAGCTTGTGGATAGCAAACAAAAAGGATGAAAATGAATTTTTATTCAATATCTACTCTCATGTTAGAATTACTTGATAGAAAATTATATGAAAAATGTATTTCTTCATGAAATTATTTTATAGATAGAATTTTACACTGCTAACTTTTTTCTATGCTTTTACATATCTATGTGTAGGAGATTTATAGCATGATATATCTCTAAATTTATCCTAAAATATATTCTGGTCTTGAATAATCTTTAGAAAGTTTTACTTTGATAAAGAAATTATTCAGGAAGAAAGAATTTTATTTTATAAAAAAAAAATCATCTTGTCATAGTTTTAAATGTAAGATGTTTTAACAAAAATTTATGAATTCTAACATTTTACCATGTTTAAATAATTTTTTATGTTTAAGTACTCCAATGATTCTTATCCACAATTTAATTTCTATTTTCATGTCAGTTTACAAAATCGTGATAAGACTTTTAAAAACATACTAACTATTTAACTTGCTATATAAAAGTAAAGTAGAATATTATTTATTTGTTTTTGCCAGGAATAATATTTAGCTAAATATAAAAAATTGTGTAACTATTTTTCATTTCTCATGGGATTTAAAAAGATAAGGTACTTAGTCTAATTCATTGTCTGGGTACTTGAAACCATCAGATATAATAACATTTTTTTTTACCTTCTATGATTCCTTATTAACAAAACCTACTAGACTATTTCTTGTTATCCTCGTCATTTCATCATTAATAAAATATCATCCTTAAGCCTGGCTTTATATTTATGAAAGGTCGTACATGTCCCTAACTTTACGAGCCAATTTGTTAGTTGTTGTATTACGTACTTATCTTTCGTACAGAATTATTAATTTGTGGAATAAATCTTTATTAATTTGTACTTGTAACATTTCAATTTTTTAATTGAATTTTAATGTATACTCTATTATTTATTTCATAATTAAAATATCAAGGAAATATTGAGATTTTTAATAGAAGGAAAAATAAAATTGAATAACAACATTTATAGAGTCTATTTAAATTGTATAGTGTAAAGAAGCACTATTGAATTTAGAAAGGTTTGGTTATTGGTATTTAAAATCACCATAATGTTAAACTCACAATGGATATTGCTTGTTCTTTAATTTATCCTGTAGAACTTTATAATTATTATGGAAAATATCTTCAACTAAGAAGCTAAAGTTTCTTTACTTAAGCTAAAGAGAAGCCAAATATGCAATAGTGGAAGTACACGAAGTTGATGTCGTTAGGGTCGATACGATAGCTTACCCTTAAACTAGAGTAGGAGAAAGAGAGAAATCTGAGAATATTTGAAAGGGCGTTGGCTTCACCCTTTATTTCCAATTCATTCAAATTTCATCTTTAAAAGGATTTTCAAATGCAATAAATATATACATATGTTTTTATTTTATTTTTTTTACTTTTACATTTTTTTTTCATTTATTTTCAGATTCTTAAACCTCTGGTCGTTGGTTCTATGATTTTAGTACTTGCTTTTTTCCTTCAGTTGACTGAAAGTGTACTCATGCTCACAAAGCATAGAAATAACATAGACGAAATGGTCAAGCAAAGAAAAAAACATGAAATAGGTGACTTTTTGAAATTTTTCCTTCTTTTGATGAAGTAATTTTTAATGCAAAATTTGAGATTCTTTACTGTTAGTTGGATTACATCAGATTACCTTAGTTTTAAAAATTTTTTAAAATAACTTCTAAGATATATCATTTATTATAAAATATGATCTCATTGAATTTATCATTTTTTTGTATCTTTATTTTTTGTGATCCACTGCTTATTATATTTTTTTATCATCTTTATGGAGTATGTTTTAAGCAGTAATCTCCTTACGTAGCTTATTACATATACAAAGATGTAATTCAATACAACTTTATAACCCTGTAAGGTTCAACTATCAAATCCACCAAGTCTGTTTAACATGAAATATTAATTACATGATCTTTAGAGTTTTAAGATTTTCTATTAATTTTAATGAATTAAAAACAAAATGTAAAATTGTAATTATTCTCTATTGACTATAATCACGATAAAGTATCACATTAATACAAATTAATAGTTGAAATGAGTTAGAAATGAGAGGTGAATGAAACAATAGTTGAATTGTCACAATACAGAAAATACATATTAATGAGGGGGAACTTTGTTGTTTTTTTTTTTCAAGTAGAACAACTAGAAATACGAATGTTAGCATTCATTTGCATATTCAAGCGACAAAAGAGGCAAAAAGAGAGGGTGAAGATCGAAGGGTAGGTGTCAGTGCAAAGTGTGGTGCAAAGGTATAAAGTAAAAACAGTTAGAGAGATAGGAAAGTCCTGATGCAAAACATGCAAGTCAAGGATCGTAACACCAATGTTAGACACCATTTTCATAGTATTTGTTAGATTTCAGTTGAAAATTATTCGTGACATAAATATGAAGTTAAAGTTATGCTTGTACAAAAAGTAGATAACAATGTGTAGATTGGATATAGTGGCTGTGAAATGAAAATTAAAGTCTGGTGACATAGTTTGTGTTTCATCACCAAAATTGTCTGAAAAACTGAAATGATTTTTGTTACTGTAATTTTATAGTTATTTGTAATGAAGGATATCTCAGCTTACAAGTTTACAAGTTAGTCACACAGTAACTAGGCTTTATTAATCTCTTGGTGATAGTTTAGAAGCTTTAGCTGATGTATATGCTAATTATCTAGCCTCATAAATGGAACATTGTTGGTTGTTGTTTTTGATTTAGAAAAGTCTAGTCTAGTGATAAGGTAAAGACATTAATTAATGATTTGATGCTAATTTGGTGTTATAAATTTCATTAGAAAACTGATTTTAACCGTAGTTGATTTATTTTGTATATTTTTTTTTTGTTTCAGATTACAACTTGGATTGTTTAGTTTGTCCTTCTTCACCTCTCTTAGTTAACCCTTTGATTTCACGTTAATTTACGTTCAATTTTACTCTACTAAACAAGAATATCAATAGAAAAACATCTTGTGACAATTTGAAAGAGTCAAAAATCAAGGAGAATCATTCAAATCTGTGACAGACCGTCGACATATTAATAAAAAAAAAAATCAATCGTTTACGATACCACAAAAGATTTTGACTTTTTGCTTTATAAAAAAATCGAAAACCATTTTGTTCAAGTGAAAGAGAAAAAAAAAGAATCAGCAAAATTACAGGCCGCGGCGGTTGCGCCAAGTATTGTGGAACTGCTCCATCACCCGGCAACATTTCATTCTCCAGCTTCCGGCAATCTTTTACTTCTAATGTCAACTACCTGAAACGAAGGTAAGCTTAATCATTTTTTCCAGCATTTTATAATTATAATGATAATAATAATATTATCCAATGTTAAAGTTTTTAATTCAATCACAATCTTTTTCACCAGATTATTATATTAATTGATACTTCAAAATATTTCTTATTCTATGCATGATGTTTGAGACATGAAGCTTGCAATATTTCAATTCATGTAATGATTTTAAAAAATAATCTTTATTATAAAAAGTTCGTATTTCATTGGATCATTAGAATTCGTTCATTAATTTTGAACATTAACTATACGTAATCATTTATTAATCTGGGTAGGGTCAAAGAGGGAAATGAATATTATACAGAGATTAGTAGAGGAAGCTTGAATTCTAAGCTCGTATAGTACAACTTGTTCACCACTAGCATACTATGAAATTATGACGACACTTTAGGTTATTTATCATGTGGTTAAATCGCCGTTCAATTTCAATACAATCTCAAGTTTGCGGTGTACAGGGTTCTATCAATAGTAAAGCTATTAATGTACGATGGATTGTATTTACACACAACGTGTGAAGCTGTGATCCATTTTCCGGACGTAATATCTTCATTCTCAATACCTAACGTCACATTGTTTGAAATAAAATACCTAATATCTTTAAATTCAAATATATTACTTTACGTGAATTTGTTTTGAATTGTTTGCCACGAAAACGGACTTGATAAATCGTTTACTTAGACTATAAGGAGATCATTGGATTCCATCATCAAGAAAGTAATAAGGACTGGTATATAAATTCATCTATATGCACACATGATCATAAACCATCCAGCAATAGCCATAGCTTTGCTTCAGCAATTATTTAAGGAATTTTGTATCAAATGCCTTAGCCATCAACCCCCTAGGTGACATCGCTCGACGCATCTTGGTGGTGCATGTGACCGTTATCGTTAATAATTGCGGTTGCAATCTCAGGCACTCACTTCATAGCTTGGCAGTTTCACTGTTAAGTGTGGTTTCATGCAAACTTAAGACCCCCCAGCCCAATTATCTCTATCACGACGACCACCATAGCTTGTCTTCTAGGTTTTCGTCAGGGGACTTGAGTTCGGAACTCGATGATGAGCCGGGAACCGAACGAGGGGTGGCCCCCATGACCCGTCAGGACTCTTCGACACCTTATCAAGGAATTCCTGATCGGCCATTACAAACTCAACCAACTGCAGCACCGCCTCCTGTTCAACCACCAGTTCCTGGAGCTCCACCATCTCATGGTGGAACTCACGGTGCTGGAGGTGATTTAAGTCTCAATCTGAGACCTGGATCCAGAACAACAAGCGCACCCTCTTCACCTGCTAAAACACGCGAGAGTCTGCTCCAAAGGGTTCAGAGTCTCACTGGAGCAGCACGTGATCAGGTAACAATACTTTACAACATTTAGAAATAATTCATTTCTTCAATAAAAGTTGTTGAGTTGAACGTGAGTTTGAAACATTGAAGTTAAGTTGAGATAAAGGTTGCTTAACTCTTGTTAAATACCGATAAAATCCAATCATTCAATTTTCCCAGGCATGAGACTAAAACTCTAAATAATATAGAGTCGTGTTAACTTCGTGACATCGAAAATGACCTGAAATAAATGATTAATCAGTAATTATAGCCTTTTTGTGCACGAACTTTATTTTTATTATACCCTTGTAAATAATGAAAGATTTGACCACTTCCCTATTTCAACAATATTTATTGACGTTGCTCAATATTTATTGATGGCCAAGAAATTTATTTGAGTTTTTTACAAGAATTATTGACACAGAGAATGATATGGTTTGTTTAGGGTGCGTCAATTCTTGGTGCAGCCGTAGGCGGTGCCAGTCGAGGTTCTTCATACAATAAAGATCGCTGTTTCACATTACTTGTGATTGACGACCAGAATACAGACTGGAGCAAGTATTTTAGAGGACGTAGGCTTCATGGTGACTATGAGATCCGCGTGGAGCAGGCTGAGTTCCGGGAGTTGTCTCTCACAGCCAATGAAACTGGCGCCACTGTTTCCATGGCTGTCTTCCGGAATGGGACCAAGGTCATCAGGTAAACACTCTTCCAAGTCTTTAACTTGGATAGTCAATATGATAAATCAAGACGAAAAGTTTAAAAAAATATTCAGAGACTACAATAAACTGCATGCCAATAAAATCGACTGGATCAAATCATCCAATTGCCTTCAGCATTATCTATAATTTATTTCTCTGCAACGATATACCAGAGAAATCTTGTCTGAAGATGAAAGAAAAATTTTTATAATGGTTTTGATATTGAAAAAATTTTTCTTTTCTCCTTAAAACTCATAATTTTAACATAATCTTTTTGGATAAAATTGTTGTAATAATTTATTGTTTTTTTTTTGTTTTAATACATAGATCCTTCAAACCGGACTTCGCGTTAATTCGCCAGAATCTTCGAGATGCTGGTGAAGATTATAAGAGCATTCTCTTGGGTCTCATGTACGGAAGTGTTCCAAGTGTGAATAATCTTACAGCAATTTATAACTTCCAGGTAAGTTTTTCATTTACCACTGATGAAATTTTGTTCTTATTCAAGAGTATAATTTAAATAAATTGCACTGATGGGAAAAATTTTCTTGCTGTTATGTGCTATAGGACAAACCATGGGTTTTCGCGCACTTAATCGGTCTTCAGCGTCGTCTTGGAAAGGATAATTTCCCTTTAATTGACCAAACTTTCTACCCTAATCATCGAGAAATGGTGAGTGTAAAATTATATTCCTTCTTTTAAATCTTCGTTTATTCTATACAAGTAAATTTTTTTGCTAGTCGCGTTATTTTCATTTTTCTTTCCGGTTTAATTTTAATTTACACGTGTTATTTACATTTAGAATCTCGCCATTAACATAAATACAATAGTGAAATAGTAAAATAAATGGACACGCACATTTAGTTGAAACATTTATTTACTTACTTCGACTAAATTACATTTGAAATTTATCAAATGCTACTTTTCAAACGTTACAAATGTGTACCAAGCAATTTATACAATTAATATCCAAACTTTAAATTAAATGCAGGTACACAAAGTCCCTTAATATCAATATAACTTATTTAAATAATTTTATAAATATTACATAATATTTTTTTATCATAAAAGCAATGCTTCCTTCAATATTAAAGATAATAATTTTCATGATAACTTTTAAATAATTATTTTTGAACAATAAATTAATAATCAAATATCATTTAACATTTTATCCAAATTCAACATGAAAAACTAATTAGAAAAAAATCAAATAATTACTATATTAAGTGTAAAAATATGATAGTAAGATTATTAACTGAATTAATACTTACTGCTTTTTTTTAATAATATTTAAATACTTTATACCCAAATTATGAAATACGAATTAATAATAAAGTAATACATTGATTAATCTCTTAATTTATATTTTACATGATAAAATAATTTAAATATACCTTAATATACATGAAAAAATATCATAATAGACAAAAACATATTTACAAACAATGATTAAAGCTCCTGTTACGAAACGAGCTTCTTATATTAGTGAAATACTATAGCCTCCATTAAAATCAATAAAATTTATCAGGTGTCAATCTCTCCGGTAAAAAGTAACACAATTCAGTATGATTATTATATTGTTACGTTTCGACAAAGATAAATATATTGTTATTAAATATTTATCTTAGTCAAAGATTAATTTAAAATATAAAAATTTATTGATAACATAGTCATGCTCATTTAATAGGAAATAAAATATGGAATTTTTTTTTTATTGAAATCACGGTTCCCTAGCTCTTTGTTGTTCTCTGAGGCGTTGATGTTGAATGATACATCTCTTATAAGCTGGTGATAGTTCCCACAAGCATCCTGTTGACCTGAGCATACAGACTCCGTATTGTTCTTGACAGTCAAAGGGTCCAGGTGCACTTTCCCATAAACAACGTTTGCCAGCAGTCTTAAAAACAGCACCTTTTCTTAACCACGGTGTGTAAACGATCTAAAAATTCATTTTAAAATTTGATTTATTTTTGAAGTTTCATTCTGAAATAAAATATGATCTAGTTTTTGCATTTCATCTTCAGTATTTGACCTCTTTAAACTTTTTTATTATACAATGGTTCAAAGAAAAGCATTCACAAGAGTGTTAAAATTTCTTCATCAGTAAAAAAATCTTTAAAGGGTGAAGAAACTAGGCCATTTATCCTATCTTAAAGTAAACATTTTGATGTTCTGCTCTTTGTTAAGCATCAACAATCTGTTTTATTCTTTTTTATATGCATGCAAAACATTTAAAGATTAATTAATTTGAGGATTTTTCATTAGGGGAAGGGTGCTAGAATGTGGATAAAACTGTTGTGTTATTTTTGAAGCATACATGATAGAAAAAAGGGTTGTTGTGAGACTAAAAAAGTAGGGTTCATTTGAAAGAACTTTTGAAGAGGGAAAGGGATAAAATCTCGTGAAATAGGAGGTCAGGGGGTCTTGAAAGACTTTATACATGAATATTAAATACAAAAAAGGTAGAGTACAAACCTGACACACACACCCACGGTGATATAATCCTCGAAAACCTTTTCGTTGTCTGGCTGTTACTTCCGACCAACGCATTGCTAAATTGCATAGGGATATCCTTGGTTTACCACCACTTATTTGTCCGGTAACAACCCAAGTTTCACCCGGTTTCATATTTTCTCGTCCACACATAGAACCCATTGATGCAGTCCATAATAACTGCTCTTCTAATGCTACTTCAGCTTTTGAGGTCGCCTGGGAAATATAACTTTTATATAACTGTTTGTTGTTTGAGTTCTCATAAGTCTTTTAAGCCTTCAAACTGGAATTTCTTCATTGATATTCCATCTATTATGATTGCTTACAAACAATTTATTTAATTACATAACATTTTGAAACCTTTGTCTTTCAATTACTCAAAGTATTATTAATTATTTAGCAAATAAATTGATACTTTCAATAAATTATTTAAAATAATATTTAATTCTAATTTGAAAAATATTCTTGCAATTTGGATAATCAAACTCTAAAGTAAAATGATTATTGGTTGTAGAGCAATGCTAAAACATTCTGATTAAATGAAAATCGATAAGACTATTTCATGATTTGTCTTACTGGTTTATCGAGAATTCAATAGAAGTATGTATGGATATCAATTGCATCTGTAGAATCAAAATACAGAAACTATCAAGTTAAATAAGAGAACATTCTTTTCATGTCTTTACAATAGTTTAGTTTTACAAATAATGTAACTACCAACTCTAACTTCTATGTGTTTTTTCTGGTTCAATAGAAGATTCGACTATTGGAATGTCTGAAATAATAGCTATGTCATGATGATATTGGTCAAATTTTAATTAAAATTTATCTTTACGCACTGAATAAACAGAAATTTCAAGAGTCACTGTGATGTAATATTGATTTTTTTTTTCTTCTAAAGAATATATAAAAATTTTTACCTTAAAAATCTTGTGAATCTTCACTTTGTATGCTGATTCGTGATCATTCATCTCTGAGAATTTTTTTATTCTGACAACAACAACTGCAATTAAATGAAAAACTTTTTATATTCATGAGAAATTAAGTTGTTTTATACATCAAAAATAAGCTAAAAGTTACAATCAGTTAAGAAAGTAGTAGAAAAAAAATAAGTTTATTTCTTCTATTCAATTTAAAAATAAGTCAATACATTTTAAAAATATTGTAGAGTTTTAAAGTAGATGAAAATATCGCAGAAATTTGAGTAAATCGAAAACAACTTGCACCAATCGAATCAGGTATTCTGATCAAAGACAAACTACTTGAATTTCATTTCGATGTCAAGTTTCTTTAGATTTCTTATGCTTCACCGTGGCTTACTTAACTTGAAAAGTTATATTTGAAGTTGAAAATTTCTTCAATATTGTTTCTACATAAATGAATGAAATAAAGTGAAGTTAAAGTGTTATGAGTGACAACAATGACAAATAATAAATGAAAAGAAAGTTTAATAGTCGAGTTAATGAACAAACTGAACCTATGATTAAGAGCAGTTAATGAGTGAATTTAGAGTTAAAGATGCTTCAAGTACATCGTAATATTTTACGGTACCATAGCACTGTAATATGTGCCAAATTACCATATTGGTTAATTTTATTAGTCAAAGACTTGGCCATGACGCAAGATTTTTGCTCTGCGCTAAGAAAGCCTGTTTGCAACGCAAGGTTCGCAAACACTTTCATGAACCCGACCATAACTCAACGAGCTTCGCGGTTTCACCGACACAGACAAGATTCTTCTTGGCCTTTCATCTTTACTTTACCATAAGTGGGTTCTCGATCATCTCCACGGCATCAAGATAAATGTTTTCTGAATCACGTTGTGGATATCAGCACATCGCTTATGAATTGCATTTTGTATTTTTTTTTTTTTCTTATCATTTTACTTTTCTCTTTACTTAGTTTAATTTATTGAGGAAGTGATATTAATTCTAAAAAATAAAAAAAAGGAAATTCTTACCAAAGTCTGCTTCACAGTAATGAGTTTGTGGATGCTGTGAAGCACACGAGCATGCTTCTACGTGTATTTGAAATGTTGACAGACCCAATATTAAAAGAACTGGCCAAAAAATAAAACGCCACATCTGGAAATAAAAGTTGAAAAATTATTAAATGGTTCTTCAATTTATTATGACAACTACCAGTTTGCCAAGTAGTTTTTTAAATCTTTCAAACCAGCATTAAATTATTTTTCAACTGATCTCTTTTAAAATATTACTAATTTAATTAAACCAATAAATCAACTGTTATAATTTGAGCTAATGAATTTTTAATTTCTCACACTTGGAGGTTAAAATGATATTTTATTATCTCCAATAGAAACACTTCACAATCGTGTTAACAGTGTGATTCACAAAATCAAATAATCCATTGCTAAGCTTGAAAGTCAAATAAATAAAAAAAAGATTCAAAGAAGAAAAAAAGGTTGATTGTAGAAAATAAAATATTTTGCTTCTGATGAATTAGTAGCAATAATCATTTATCAAACATGTCACAATCAACACTATCAATCAAGATATTTTTACGTGATACTATTCCTCATGTTATCTAAATGTCGATCAGCTTTTTTTTCACACTATTGTTAGATTATCAAAACCATCTTTTTTAGGGTATTAGTTTTTTTAGCAGAATCGATGTACAGCTTGAAGTGATGAGCTTAAAGGTATTCAATACTACTGACAGTCTCCATCAACGCCTGCTGGTGTTTTTGGTGCTAAACATAGCATCAGTTTTAGATAAGATCATTCAGACAAGTTCTAGATGCTCAGAAACTATGAATAACATATTATCCAATTCACCTTGTTGATGCAACAATTATAAACTCAGCTAAAGTTTGACAATTGGAAACATTTATTGCTACCCAAAATTGTAATTTTTCTTCTATTATGAGAACTGATAGTCCAATAGTTCTCTAGATTTCCCATGAGGTTGTAGACCCACAAAGCTCAGTAGTTTTGTTTGAAATTTATGTCGACGGATTTAGAAAAGCCTTGGAATAATCTAGGTGATTGGAAGATGTGATGGTATTGTTATTCATTGGAATGTTTATGGAATTGAAATTGCTTTTACTTGTGTGGACGACTTAGTTACCTAGTGAAATGAGTATAAATATAGATACTTGAACACGTAAATAATCATTGGACCAGCTATCATATAATTATGCATCTTGCAACCAGTAATCATCATTTATTATACATATATCCATACCGGTTCATTATCTGTGGTATCGAGAGACTGTGAATTATGCGCGATAAAGTCAAGACACGATGAGTGAAAAGATGATAGGAGAAAATCGTGATCGTGAAAATATCTGTTTTTATTCATATATTTTTTATGAAATTAATTAAATTGAAAATTCCCTGGTGTTAAAGCATACACTACTGTATGTTTTGATTATACTTAAAGTAATGAAAATTGTAGATTATATTTATTAGAAAGTGGAAAAAAAATTTTTTACATCAATTTTGAAAAATTAGTTGATGTAATAAGGTTGGTAATAACCATTTGATCAGAGTTATTTCAGTTAGGAAGTGAGTTTTCCGTCAACTTCCGCATGTCAAAGAAGTAATCTTGCAAGTAGATCGATTGAAAATGAGAAAGTGCATCTCTCAATGAAACTTATTGACCTCATTGTCTCTGTTTGCTTTACTTTTTTTTTTTTCAACTGTCCTTTATGACTATCGATTTATTATTAAAGAGATGAAATGAAGTTTATAACTTTAATATTTGTTCTTTATTACTTTTGAGAATTTTAAACAATAAAAGTGAAATAAATAAATAATAAAATTTATCAGTCATATAATTTTATGATTACAATTATTGTATCAAAATTTTTATACAAAAATTTTATCTTGTCTATTCACAAATCTTGATGGATTATATAAGAAATAAGTTTGTGAATTTAAAAATCTTATTCCTCTTAACCTGAGATAACATTTATCTTGAATACTTCAATTTACCGGAAATGCAATTTTTATATCAGATCTACTCGCGTACTTCTTTGACATCTTGGTCGAAACCCGAGCATGTTGTTATCGTTGACGAGTTCTTGGTATTGATTTCATGACGCACGCAAAAGCAACACTTTTTCCATTCTATATTATTTTTTCTCAGCACAAAGTAAAACAACATGTTATAATTCTCTTTACTGTCAATAAAAGCAACATGATTATAACAGGTGATGATGATCCTTGCTACTACTCTTCTTGAAACCAACAGCAAATAATTCCTTAAGTAGTCTTTTCAGGAGATCCAATAATAAGAAAATATCTGGACCTAAGACTTTTTTTTATGACATGACAGCTATTGGACTCATTATTATTGGTTGGAAGATTGTTATTTTCTCTTTAAAGTTCATTATTTTACTTTCTGATTCCTGGACTGTGATTACTCTTTTTTGTGATAAAAAAAAAATAAATAAAAATCATGATTCTATCATTCATCCTCCTCTATTGGTCAAGCTAAAAGCTCTAGATATGTCGTTGCTCCTTTATTTTCTCTGTCTTCGGGTTATAACACATTTTCAGGGAACGAAATTAAACCGGCGAGCCTTTGGTCGTTGGGTCAGGCGTGACGAACACGACATGCTTTATCGGATGCAATGAAACTGCCAGTAGCAATCTTGGGAAAGTTTTTGTGACGTTTGTTTGCATTGAATTATGCACATTTTGCTTTATAGAATGAAATTTAGTTTAATTGAAAATTTTATTTAGCAAAATAAATGTTTTATTTAAGACAAATATTAAAAGTTTCATTAATTATTATCCAGATTATTATAATTAATATTTTAATCCAATTTATTTCTACTTTAAATATGATATTTAAATTAAAACTTCAATTAGCTGGCAATTAATTTAGCTTGTGTTTTAACATGCTTTTTATTATCCAGTGATAAAAGTGAATAAGAAAGTGAAATCAAATGAATATAAAATCAGATAAGTCTAGGGTTTAGTTGATCAATAAGATTTATTTGTAAAAGAATATGATAAAATCAAATCATTTATGTTTGATTCGTAGAAAATTAAAGCAAAAATATTTACGACTTCCTAGAGAATTGGTTGTTCAATTAGCATCAATTAATAGTTTCATTATTATTTCTACCAACATGTCATGCTAAATTTTTCATTGCTAATAATAATAAAAGCTATAAATAAATCTATTTCGAGTATTTAAATGGATTGGATTACATGGACTAAAACACTACTGTACATCATCACAACAAATGGAACGAGATAGTAACTGATGTCATTCACTAGTCCATCTGCATACATTATTTCTGACCCTTGATGTCATCGACAAATATTGTGTGTGCAAAGTTTGTATTTTTTACACACTATCACCTACCACACCTTCAGATCTTTTTCTTCTGACGCATCAGCTGACTAAACTAGACTCAAATGCCTTACACGTACAATTTCTGATGCATTCAGTCAATTTTCAATGCACATTATGTTTCCTTGACTATAATTTTATTGATGACTCACTTCTGGGAGCAGTTCCAAATTTCATCTGTTTATCAAGCATACAATCATTCGTGTCAATGAACATTGACTGAACTTATTCTGCCAGTCACAAGTAAAAATATTTTTCCACTGAAATTTCTTCTTCAATGTGAAAGTCCAATTCTCAAGTATTCACTATATGATGATAAAAAATACTCCAGAAATGAAGAAACAATAGAATGTGTGCTTAGTAAATTTATTCGATGAGCTAGAGCATGAAGGCTTATTCATCGTTGGTATATGGAGTATTTTAAAAAAGAGAAAATGGAAAAAGTTGAAACAAAAAATCAAAGCACACGAATAACTCAGCATGTGGTTGCATAAAACATTGAAGATGGAATATGAAAGCACAGAGGGTTGTCTTTACCAAAGTATCTACAACTAGTTGATATTTTTTTTTATCGATTGTTTCATATAAATATATACATATTTTTTTATATAAGGTTACTTTTATGATGTGTCAGATTTACATGTAGGTATTTTACACATGTCATCACAATTTTTGCAAAACTTTTTATCAAAATATTGTGTTAAGTAAAGAGACCTCGAGAATTAAATAGCCAGTAAAATTGAATTATGAACATGCATATGATGTAAATGTATTCGTTCACATAAATAAGAGAAGCGTGTTCAAATATCCATGCATACAATTCATGCTGATGTACTGTCATTTTATCAAATTTGAGAACCATGAGAGAATGGATGAAAAAAAAATTAATTCAACGAATTAAAAGAATGAGATCTTGTAAAACTTGAATGTTCTGGTAGATTTGAATGACGCTGATTTAATTACTTTCTAATCTAAACAACATCCTAAGGATATATCTATTTCTTAATATAATATTTAATTAACCTAAGCCATGTTTAATTAAAAATATAAAGAATAAATTAAATTCCTCTCCAAATATTTTCAGTTATTATTTCTTTCTTTTTTTTTTATTGATCAACAAATAATCAGCAAACATTTAATTATTTTTCTAACTTAAATTTTTTTATAATAATTATTTTCTTGATACACATGACCTCCATAACTTTAACCTTCGCAAAAAATGACACAAAGACAATTAGAATTTCAAAGTGGTATAAAGATAGAAAGTGTTGAATAGCAATTCACATTTATGATAATAAATAAATATTTTTTAAATAAAATGGTGATTATTTTTTTTGAAACAAGTTTTATGTTAAAATTTTCATGAATTAATCAATCGATAATACACATAACTATTGTCAGTATTAACTCTAGGTATTTATAAACTGGCTAGAAGTAAACATGCATGACAAATTAATCCATTAAGTTGACAAAGCGAAGAAATGTATGCTATAGCTGTCACCAACTTTGATATATTGTATTCAGTAGACTGAAATTTCGTAATAAAATCAATATCTTTGATATTTGAAAATACTATTATCATTTTTATTTATTATTAATTCGATATTAATACTATTTAATTTTCATAATTATTACAATTATTATTGATTTACTATTCAAGTACATTTTCACTTAATGAGATGTATGATTAAATAAATTATCAACAATGATGCAACTTTGTCTTTCAGAAATATGTATTTTGCTTATCTAGTTT